ATCGTGGTTCCGAATTTGTTTCAGCGTTTTTCCGGGCTCTCGGTAAAGCGCTCTCCATGGAACTTCATTATACCTCTGGATATCATCCGGAAGCCGACGGGCAGACCAAGCGCGTCAATCAGACTCTTGAGCAGTACATCAGGATCTATTGTTCCTACCAACAAGATGACTGGTCGCCGCTACTTCCGATCGCCGAGTTCGCCTATAACAACGCTCCCAACGCTTCCACAGGTATTACTCCATTCTTCGCTAACAAAGGATACCACCCAAATATCACCATTTGGCCTGAGGTCGACATGAAGTCTGATCTTGCTAGAGACTTCGTCGTCAACCTTGATGAACTCCACGCTTTCCTTCGAGAGGAAATCCTTTTAGCTCAGTCTCGTTACAAGGAACAAGCTGACAGGAAAAGAATCTCGCACCCGGAGTTCCCGATCGGCTCCGAAGTATTTGTTCTTGCTAAGCATATTCGCTCTACTCGTCCTACTGAAAAATTCTCTGAAAAATATCTTGGTCCTTTCAAGGTCGTCAGTCGACCTGGTACTTTGTCTTATGAACTCAAGCTCCCGGACTACCTTCGCCGAATTCACCCGGTTTTCCATGTCTCACAGCTGGAGCCAGTTATGCCGAATCCTTTCCCGAATCGTACTCAATCTCCTCCACCTCCAATTGAAGTCGATGGTGAAGAGGAGTACAACGTTGCCGAAATCCTGGACTCCAAGCTGGACAGAAGGTATAAGTGTTGTCCTCTACGTTATTATATTCGGTGGGCCGGTTATGAAGGTACCGACGATGAATTCTCCTGGGTTGCTGCTGATGAATTACATGCTGATGAACTGGTACCCGCATTCCACGCTCGATACCCTTTGAAACCTGGACCTTGATCACACAAAATCATTTTATTCCTTTTCCTCGTTTTTCCGCCGCGCTCCGCCGAAGTTTACTTTGTGTGTTAGAGGATAAACACGATGATAGCAAATTGAGTGTTTATCTCTTTCCCTAAATAGCTTACATTCTCCTTCAATTTACTGTTCTTACTTATATGTTATTTACACTTAAAAACTACCTATACTTCAAACTAATTACTTCTTACGCCGCCTCGCGGCCCATTCGCTTTCCGATTCAAATCGCGTTAAATTTTTATATACAAACAAAAAACCAAAAAAAAAACAATTTATACAACAGGGACAGGAGACAACAAGAAGACTACAAGAAGTACAAGAGAGGCCGAAGGCCGATGTCCGATGTCCGCGATACTACTACTCTACCACTTCCTTCTCCTTCCCCTTATCCGCTCGCGCCTCGGTCGGCGCCATCTCCTCCTCGACTATTTCCTCCTCCTCTCCTTCCCCATCTTTCTCCATCTCCTTCTCCCTCTCCTCCACTTCTTCTTCTTCCTCCCTTTCTTCATCACTCTCCTCAACAACCCTTCGCCACTTCAACGGACGCCGCCGCTCGGTGGTCCTCCTCGACGGTCCTGCCGCCGCCGGTCCTTCTCCCATACCCATCAAGGACATCCTAGTGTCCATGGATATGAGGCGCGTATGATCGTCCTCTTGCCTTCTCAGCAGCTGGCGAAGGTACTGCTGAGTTTTCGAATTGGCCTCTCGTAAGGCCCGGTTGTTGGCGAGGATCTGCGCCATCTGACTTTCGAGTACGGCCAAGCGCTCGCCGCTCGGACTTGATCCTCCCTCCTTCTTCACTACATACGGACGACCCGAGTACGAACATCGCACCTTCGAGTCGTGGCAGGGCTTGCAGATTACACTGCTCCGCTTGCTAGCTTGCTTTAGGCAAGGGATCTTCTTCGACCGGCACCGCTCGCAAGGCTCTCGGTCATCCTCATCATCATCATCGTCGTCGCCGTCATCGCCATCATCGGGGTCCTCACCAACGGGCTGAAAAGGAATAAGTTAGCAACAAGAAGAGATCAGGGGAAAAAGAGGACGCACCTGAACCTTGGCTTTGCCTTTTCCTTTACTCTTCAACCTCGATATTTCCACAATCGGCCTTCTTGGCGACGCAGAAACATCCCCCGTTGAAGTTCCTCCCTGACTCCTAGCTGTTGCAGCCTCTGCTAGCTTCCTCCTCCACTCGACGAGTTCGTCCTCCTGTTCGCGAGCCCGAACGGCCCGGTCGCGTGCACCTTGAGCAGCCTGACGTCTGGCCGCCGCCGCCTGTGCCGCCGCTCACTTCTTTTTCTCTGCCTCCTCTGCTGCCTTCCTCGCAGCCGCCTCTTCTGCTGCCTTCTTCTTGGCAGCCTCTGCTGCTTTCCTTGCTTTGACTCGTTCAACCCGTGCCAGGGCCTCCCTGAGGATTTCGTCTTCATCCTCGTCGATAGGAGCGCCAGGACTCGGAGGATCGGCGGGGCGGGCTGAGGTACTAGCAGAGGGTTGGGTAGTGGTGGTGGTACGGCTTGTCAACATTGTTGTGGACTTAGAAAATTTGAGGAAAAGTTAGGCCCTTAGCGGCAAAACCCTGGGCCTTTTATACGGCAAAACTGCGCACAGACCAGCGAAAATTTTCCTTCGAATTGTACTTGGTGTACGGTGAACCGAAAATTTTCACTGATGACTAACGCCATTTCCCGGTACTAACGGCTTTTGAAAATTTTCCTGCTGACTGATGGGCCAAATCCCCGATCCTGACGGCCTTTAAAATTTTTCTGTGGTGACTAACCAACTCCCGGTATTAATGGCTTTCGAGGGCTCAAGCCTAAGAGGGGGATACTGTCAAGTCCATGCCGCGGGCCTCCATTACGCCGCTCGGTACTCCGAAGATCTGCTCCTTATTGTAATCTCACTCCTATTGTTCTTTCTCGCTACACATATCCTTTCGTTCTAGTCTCTCCTTATTGTCTTTTACTCTACCCTGCAGGTACTACTCGTATAGCTCCTAGTAGTTAGTCTGGCGCTCCGCACTGATGCGCCGTTCCGTAGATATAAATACTGCCTGTACGCTACTGTAGTTCCTCAGTTTAATTATCGACTTAGATCAACTTAGATCTCCCTTCTCAACTTAACTCTTCTCTAAGTCTTCAGGCTCAACGCCTTGGAGTACTCCCCATTATAACCTTAGGACTTAGACGTCCTCTGGTTCGCTCCTCGTCACCGGCGATACCGCCGCTCCGACCTGGCTGCTACTTAGCTTCTCTCTCTCTACTCTCGCTCTCCGGGGACTAACGGCGTAACGGCGGTGTTGTTAATAACTTCACTACTGTCCCACTCGTCTTCCACACTTAGACACCTTGTGGCTCTGGCACGGTTACACGGTGTACATGATCTTAACATTTATCCTCAACATCTGCAAAACATGTATACTTGCCAGAGCAAGGATACTGGCTGGAGAGCGCTCTCCAGCGACGAAAGCACCCAAAGCAAAAATCAAAGCCTGCTCTGGGTGCTTTCGCTGCTGGGAAGTGCTCTGAACTGCTCTGAACTGCTTTCGGCTATTTAGCCGAACATACAGGTTTTGCAGATGAACCTCATGATGGTCTTCATATGATTACTGCATGTATACATAGTATTGCTGGAAGGAGCAGACTCATGTAAACAAATTACTTGTGATCCCTAATTTTTAGGACACACACATTATACACCTCAAGATGTACACTGTTATTTTCTATGTTCATGAATGAACCCTAATCTTTGAGACTCACAGGTTGTGCGGCTCAGGGTTTGCACGGGTTGATGTGATCACGGTTGCGGCGTGCCCGGCCCGGGTCGCAACCGGATGCCAACGGTGATGCAAGTACTCTGCATCAAGAATAGTCCGGAACAGTCCAGGCCCAAGACCGAAAACATACAGATAGTACTCTGTTGCTTTGTACCCACTAGAGAGTTTCTCCGCAGGATTACGAGGTGGTCGTTGAAACGAGCTTGGAAAATACTGAGTTGTATTGGCAACAGTTTTACCGTGATCTTCCCATGTTGACCCAACAAGTTTGACCCACTCCCATGCATCTGTATCGCTTACTTCACGTTTAAGTGTTCCACGCCAAAGACAAAGGAGTAAGTCTTCGAGGTTGAGTAGGAGTAGGTGCATCAAGTCAAGGCCAAAGCACCGTGGAACGGGAAGAGAATATCCAGGGTGGAGCCCACTAAGGATACTTGGCTTCGACAATCCTGTAGCCTTTCGATTATATTTGTACTCAGTCTTATCCTTCGAGGCACGAAGCTTTGCAATTTTTTCGTCATACTGCACTGCGGTCTGCGGCTCGAGTCCTTGAATATCTGTGTCCGGATGCTGATTGTCCAAAATAGAAGCATTATTTGGTCGCGCATGGACAGCATAATAGTGACCACTATTAGGTTTATGTCGACCTTTCATTTCACATCCGACCCGACAACCCTGAGCACCATGGTGTCCAACACGCCCATCCCATTCGACCATGCCAAGAGCATCTGCTAAGCCTAGAAGGAAGATTACTCGCTGGTACACAATCTTCTTTACTAATGCATCCCAGACTTTCATCCCCCTTCCATTATTTTCCTTCTGCAAAGCAGATAGATGATGGAGACCAGGAAAGAGGAAAGAATCAGTGTGTTTCGGCTTGTTGGGACCAGGAATGATAATATTCGGAAGGACTTTCTTTTTCTTGAAACGAGAGTCAGGTGCATAATCTTGGTTTATCCAGATACCAATCCAACAGTCCGACTTTTTGTTCTGGTAAAGCTGCGCACCATCGATGGAAGCGGAGATAGCAACATCATCCTCAGTCATACCGATATTCTCAACAAGCTGACGTACATCCTCTCCACACCAAATATCATCGTAGATCATTTCAGCTCCTTCAACTTCATCGTCATAGTCCTCGACCATTCTCCGGATCTGGTCAAGCTTCTGAGTTCGATATTTCCTGCCATCCGCTCCCTCAGATGAACGCCGGTTTGCAGCTAGTTGTGGACCAAGGAGGATTGTACTACATTGTAAACGCGGTACCTTGTCACCAGTTCGACGAAGCTGATCTAGATCATATCTGGGCTCGTTACAGTAGAAACAGTGTTCAAGGTCTGTCCAGGGCCCTGTAAATGCATGACAGGAATTCACGCACATATCACTGTACACGCTGATGACACCTGTGGTATCAGCTATGAAGCTCTTCACACAGTGATAAGAGAGGATATTTGTTTCAGGAAAACGAAGTAGAATTGCATTGCGAACACTACTGTATGTGGCTTCGGAGGCGTGTGTAATAGAGAGATAGAGATCAATGGATAGTCGTGTATCTGGGTCCAATTCATCCGGAGGACCTTCGATTGGATTTCGCAGTCGTTCGATTGTACGTTCGTCAAGTCCACTGTTCTCGAGGGTAGCTTCACGCAGGAGTTGAATAAATTCATCTGCGATGCGAATATCCTCAATCGAAGATTTCGCTCCAACGTTTTCATTACTCCCCTCACGTTCTTCCTCTTCATCGCTCTCCTCATCGCCATCTATGACTCCCTGACCATCTCCAACACCTCGCTCATGTAGGTGGAGATTTTCTAAAAATGCGGTGGTATACCGAGCATGAGCATCTTCCACCTGTTGCTCATTGAGGTCATCTTCGTCCAGTTCGTCCTCGGGCTCTGGTGATGCAGCTGGAGGTGATGGAAGAACCGATTCATCCAGGCCGGAAGGAATACTACTGCGCCTCGAGTTTTGGAAATCGTTGTTTGGTAGATATCTGCGAGGACCACGTGCAGGAGGAGAGGGGTATGAACGAGGTTGGTGGGTCGGAGAGGAGGGATAGGATTGCGAGCCCTTCAATCTCATTATGTTAGAACCAACAAGAATTAAGCAAAGTATTGTATTGCACCTCTGGTTCCGGTGAAGGGGATGCAAGCCGAGGTCGTTTCCCCAGACGAGCAATTGCTTCAGCTTCCTCCTGCCTACGATCCTGGAGGGCATGTCGCTGTACAGTTCGGATGTCAACTGAGGGACGGAGTCCACCACAACGAGAGCAATGACAGATTTGGGAGCGACCGTTATCCATAGCTGTATTAAGTCGGACAAAATTCGTGAGATGAAGCAAAAAAAAAAGGCAATAAATTGAACGTCGAAACCTTTTGAGCTCCTCGAGAACGGTGTGGACCTGCTGGGTATCAAATTCAATAAATTTACGTTCGTGGTGACAGTAGAAGATGAACTTTGCGTCATCACCAGATGTGGTCATACTCTCACGGATTTCAGCCGTTTTGACCGGATATTCCCATTGCAGGTTTTGACTGGGGGTGATGCCTTAATGGCAGTTCAAATGAACTGCCATGGCTTTTGCGTCCCGTGTAAGTGGCAGCAACTTATGGAGATTTGCACCCTGTGTATTATCCTGTGCTTATAGTACGCCTATTATTACAAGGATAGTGCGATAAATTGTGCATACGGGCATTATTACACCCGAGCTTCAATGTGCCAGTCCAACTTGTCAGCCCATTTTGGTAACAACTGCGATATTTGTTCCACATCTTTGTCGCCTCTGCCAGAAAGACACTGTTAACATGAGTTAGGACCAATCCTAAACATCTAGAGTACAAAATTTTACCACAACGATATCGGCATCCTTAGGAAGCGTCTTGGCAAGTTGCATTGCACCCCAGATGGCATGTGAGGATTCGAGTGCTAGACACAGATAGTTCAAGCTAATATAATTTCGTCTCAAATAAGACAAACCTGGAATGATACCCTCACGCTGAGTGAGTATCCGGAACCCACGAAGAGCTTCTTCATCAGTCGCTACAATATACTCCGCTCTTCCCGAATCCTTCAACCATGAATGCTCAGGTCCAACACCAGGGTAATCCAAACCAGCACTGATAGAGTGTGTTTCGATGATTTGACCCGCTGGTGACTGCATAATGTATGTTCGTACGCCGTGTAGAACACCGGGCTGGCCTTTTGACAAGGTAGCGCTGTGGCGGTCTCCGTCTAGGCCTGTGAAATAATTGAAGCCTCAGATGAATTTGTCAAAAAAAATTCTCGCCTTCACCACCAGCCTCCACACCAATTAAGCGGACATTCTTATCCTCAATAAAGTTATAGAATGTACCGATAGCGTTACTTCCTCCGCCAACGCACGCAACGACGGCTTCAGGAAGCTTACCACGCTTAGCATGTAACTGCTCCTTGATCTCTTGACTGATTACTTTTTGGAAATCTCGGACTATTGTCGGGAATGGATGTGGTCCAATTGCAGAGCCAACGAGGTAGTGCGTCGTTGCAAGATTGGTGACCCAGTCACGGAAGGCTTCATTGACAGCGTCTTTGAGGGTACATGAACCCGAGTGTACTGGGATGACCTAACAGAGTATACAATCAGGAAATGATGAATTCATTCAAGAGCCACAAACCTTTCCACCAAGCATTTCGATTCGGAATACATTGAGCGCTTGTCGTCGAACATCCTCGGAACCCATGTAAATGATACATTCAAGCCCGAACCTGGCGCAAACGGTTGCAGTTGCGACCCCATGCTGACCTGCGCCGGTCTCAGCGATAATTCGAGTTTTCCCTATGCGTTTCGCAAGAAGAATCTGTACACATCGTGTCAAACAGGATGCTCCACAAAGGACTGCCTACTGACCTGGCCTATGGCGTTGTTGATTTTGTGAGATCCAGTGTGGTTTCTGAGTAGGGCGGTCAGCAAGAATCATCAGTAGTCGTAAGTAGATCTTCGCACAGATCTTCGCGCTTAAGCCAGATGTTGGCTCCTCCAGCGTCCTTCGTAAGATTTTCCGCAAGATAAAGCTCTGAAGGTCTATTCATATAACCATAAAGACCCCGAAATTCCTTCCAAAACTCAGGATCGGCCATAGCAGACTTGTGCGCCTCTTCTAATTCGGCGAGACAGTCGACAATTGCTTCAGGGACGTACTGCCCACCGAATTGCCCAAAGCGTGCGGGCAGTACAGTAGGATCTGCCGTAGTATTAGCGATTGGTGGTCCATCCTTGTTAACATTGAGAGTGGGAGTGCTTAATCTTGGAGGTGGTGGTGAGCGGGATGTGGCAGGTTCACCCTTGTGCGATATTTGTGATAGGTATTCGGTAACTTTTTGATTTCCCTGACCTGGAGGCGCATCCTTGATAACAGTAACGATGCGACTGCCAATGACGACTCCATCTGCACCCGCATTGGCAACATAATCAAAATGTCCTCGGTTGGCGACGCCAAATCCGACTGCAACCGGTACAGTAGCGTATTCACGAACACGAGAGATTATATCAGGGAGTGCGATATTCATTGCAATCTTGTCCGACGATCCAGTAGTGCCCATCTATCGGAAGCTTGTTAAGGCGGGATGAGAAAGACGTAGGCACGACCAACCTTCGATACGATGTATATGAAAGTGTCCGCTATCGAGGCAAGGAACTTGATGCGATGTAGAGTAGTCGAAGGGGCAATCAGTGGAACATAAGACAACCTTTTTGTGAAATCAGTCGATTAAAAATCACAGGTTCATTGAAGAAGATACGTACTGAACTTTGGCACATTTCTCTCGGAAAGTTAACGCCTCTTCAGGAGGTAGGTCAACCATAATGAACCCATTTGCTTCTGCTTCACTCGCGTCCTGGATGGCTTTGTCCTCGCCGTACGCTAAGATCGGATTATAGTAACCTGAACCATGTCAGTATACATTTTGAAAGGCTTTTGGAATTTCAACATTACCCATCAAAAGGACAGGGAGAGTTAGTCCTTTACTACGTGCCTCTCGTAGCTGCCCAAGCACTGTGGGATAGTCTATATCATTTTTGAGAGCAATCTTGAGACGAAAAGGTTAAATGGTTGCCGGATATCACAGATAGCTATCTTGGACTCACTGTATTACTTTCTTGAATGACAGGACCGTCGGCGATTGGATCTGAAAATGGTACACCAAGTTCTATGATGTCTGCGCCTCCCTGTTGCATTGCCAGCAGTAATGGTACGGTATCCTCCTTCTGAGGATACCCCGCGGTGATGAAGGTCACCAAAGCGGGTGTTCCCTGGAATACTTCGGGGTCAGCTTGGATTAACACATCAGAAGCATCAGCACTTCAGCATTCTTCTTTGCGAACACATCTTTAATGGCTTGCATTCCGATGAGTGAAAATAAAAGTAGATGAAAGTGGATGTTTTGTCGAGTCACTGAGCATGGAGTTTTATCGGAAACTTTCAATTGAATCCTGTCCACGTGGAAAATTATCTTATCCTCCCTGATCTTATCACAGCATGGATAGCACTATGAATCGTTCAACACCTCAGCTCGCCGATGAAGCCCGCGTTCTGGTGATATACACAGGCGGAACCATTGGTATGCTTGTTGGGCAACAAGGTGATCGAATGCCCACTCAAATTGGGCGAACTAAGCTCAGATTCTGTTGGAAGGGCTAACCACGGAACCATCGTTTTTAACGGAGACCTTGAGAAGTCAGACTCGTTTTCACGATCCTTTGGAGAACTCTCTCTTCTCTCACTCCGGCTCAGTCCAAGGATATCGGCAATGGAGTTCCAATAGTGGAAGATCCAGTCCACAAACCGGTGTCTCTACCGGTGCATACTACTCGTCTCAACTTCCGACTTTACTAGTCCGATCTTCTCGACCCATTGGGCACACTAGTTTGAGCCCGGGCCAAGATCTAAACTCATTTCCAAGACTCACATCCATCAAGATAGCGGATAATGTGTATGAAGCTCATCTTCCGAGTCTAGTAACTCCTCGTAGCGCTGTACCAGGCGGTACAGGCGGCAAACGTATACGATATGCAGTGTTAGAGGTTTTTATCAACTTCTCTGCTGCACTGTCGTCATAACCAACATCTTACCACAGTGGGATCCTCTTCTGGATAGTAGTAATGTCGAGATGAATGGTTAGTCGGGATACTGACTCGACTGTTCTTACTTTCCGGTATTCATTTTTCGAACTGGTAGATTGGATTCGCATCGCGACAGAAATCGAACTCAACTACAGCTTCGACGCGTTCGTGATTCTGCATGGGACGGACACCATGGCTTACTCGTCCAGCGCAATGAGCTTTCTGCTAGAAGATCTCGGAAAGACGGTTGTGCGTATGATCTCCAATCGTAACCAATATTAACAATGCTCATCTGTGACAGATTCTGACTGGAGCCCAGATACCGCTTTCACAGCTGCGAAATGATGCTACAGATAATCTAATGGGGGCATTGACTATCGCTGGACATTATATCATTCCAGGTCAAAGTTTTCAAGTTGTCTGCATCCCTGATTGCCATCTATATATTCATATAATTCGTGCTCTTTAGAGGTTTGTCTTTATTTCAACCATATGCTCTATCGAGGGAATAGAGTCTCCAAAATGTCGTCGTACGATTTAAACGCATTTGATAGTCCGAATTTCCCCCCCTTAGTGAAAGGTCAGTCGCTGACTGAGGTATCTTGCTCGCTGAAGCTCAATGACATGCAGTGGGAATTGAGATCATGGTCAACTGGAATAATGTGATTCGGCAGACGACTCTCCGACGTTTCAGAGCCCACAAAGGTAGATGAATTTACATTCCCTGGTCTCAGTATTGATTTCCCATAGAGATGCAATCGCATGTTGGTGAGCTGGATGGTAGAGCCCCGTCATCATCGACTTCTGCTGAATATATCGTGTCTATACTCAGCCACTCTCAGACTGTTTCCCGGTATAACGGCTGAGACTGTCTCCGCGTTCTTCAATCCGTCCACCAAGGGTGTTATTTTGGAGACGTTTGGTGCAGGGAACGCGCCTCAACGGTCAGATTTAGTGAACACGTTGCGAGAAGCGTGTGAGAGAGGCGTTATAGTTGTAGCCATTTCACAATGCTCGAAAGGATCCGTCTCCGACGCGTATGAGACTGGGAGAACGCTTCTACAAGTTGGCGTAGTTCCAGGTGGCGATATGACTCCAGAGGTCTGTGATTTAGTTCTTTCGTCCATCGAATCCACTAAGATTCTTTGAATGAAGTGTGCCCTCGCGAAACTGAGCTATCTCCTTTCTAAACCGGAATTTTCGACATCCGAAGTTCGAAAATTAATGGGTGTTCCACTCCGTGGGGAATTGACGCGGTTAACTCTCGTTCCACCACCAAGCCAACTCAGTGTTGAACGAAACCTGGAAAGTCTGAATGGGGTTTTGTCACATTTCAGTCGACTCAGTTCGAACCAATCGTCCGCTCACAACCCAGGTCCTCAAATCGTCATCTCAAACTTAGACGAGGCGACCCAAGATGCTGCTGCGTCTTGGTCGTGGACAGCAGCGGAAGCCGGTTCTGTTGAGGCGGCTCTATATCCTCTCCTATTACATCTCGCAGTTGCAAGGAATGACATTGAGAGCATCGAATTTTGTTTGTCCAAGAATACCCGTGACGCCGACTCTGATTTTAGTACAGCGGATGTTTCTGGTCTAATTGTAGGGGGAATGGTGAACTGCTTGGACCCAGGATCTGGAAAAACCCCGTTACACACTGCTGCGCTGAATGGCTATGTTGAATCGGTGACATTACTGCTAAATTCTGGGGCATTGGTACATCAACGAGATGCTTTAGGGCATACTGCTTTATATTATGTAGGCGTTCGATGATCACAATAACTCATCGCTAAATTGGCATCATAGGCTGCAAGGCAAGGTCACATAGACGTGGTGAATCTTCTGGTTAGCCTTCAAGTTCTCACAGTGTCGCTAGGGCTTGATTGAAATTTCTACAGAATAAAATGGGCAGTACGCTTAGTGTTGTGGACAACATTTTCGCTGCGCTTGCTGTGGCGAACGCTTCGAAAATCGGAGATCAAAGATTGCTAGATCTATGGATATCGGCTGGTTACACATCTCTTGCTACTTGAATGTCGCACACTGCCATCTATCTAGTTTTCCTCAGAACAAAACTTTTTGGGAGTATCACAATGTCAGTGAAATAGTTGTTTCATTCAAGTATGTCGAAATCCGTGAATGGACCCTTGTATCTATCCATCTGTTGGGGGTTCAATGGCCACCATTTCACCTGAGATGAAAATACAATTGTTCTCTGCAAGCGGGTTGAAAGAGATGTTTTTGGCGTTCGCAGTAAGTTTCGTTAGTGTTGTGCAATGTAAAATTATCACGAGTTCGAGTCACATGGATGGAACATTTCTTCGCTCTGAATTCTCAGTCTGACTCGATCCCCGTCGTCCGATATTCTAATCCCCTAAACATCACTACGGCGAAATGGCTTCGGACCCTCGGTCAACGGCAAATCAACGCATCGTAGAAGATTTGGTCTCTAGATTACGACGACGGTTAGCAATGCTGCTCATTAGCCAATGCAACCGACTGTTCATTCAGCTTTCGCCTTTAGACAACTTGTAGGATCTCGTGCTACAGCGTTAGAGACATTACTAGTCCTGCGCCAGGTCGTTTCAAAAGCCCGATTTTCAAATATCGATCAACTGGTCAATGTCATACGGATTGTAGGACGAAGGCTTGTGGAAGCTCAACCCAAAGGTTCTTATATTTCCTGTATCCGGTAACTCATACTCTTCATCGTTAATCAGAGCACTCTGTTGGAAATACCGTCCGAAAAGTCCTCCATCACATACGTGAAGAATATCATACCGCAAGTGAACGACCAACAGTCCAGAGTTCATTTTCGATAGCGAAGTTTGTCCTTCAAGGTCAACCAAGAAAACAAACACCCATACCACGCTCAGAGACACGGGTTTCTTTGAAGGAAAACGATCCAGATGACCCAGACTCATTTGCCCGTGTACTCAAACCTGTTCTCATGGAAGCCATTCAAGACGTCTTTGACGAACTAGAGACTGTCTATGATAATATCTCTAAGAATGCTAAAGATCACATTCATTCCGAGTGCGTGAATCATCTATCGTTTCTATCTCAATTGACACGTTCATAGTGAGATTATCCTGACCCTTGGCATGTCGAGAACCGTACAGTCCTTCCTAAAGTCTGCTGCACATTACAGAAATTATACAGTCATTGTTGCTGAGACCGCACCATCGTATGTGGTCAATCGGGTCCTATTGTTTTCGCGGCTTGATATCCCTTCAGTTATGGAGGTCGTGAAATGGCAGCATCACTCTCATCCGCTGGAATCTCTACATTCCTAGTCCCCGACTCTTCGATTTACGCGCTCATGTCTCGTGTCAACAAGGTAATATTAGGAGCCCACGCGATACTCGCCAATGGGGGTATGTTTGCGACCTCCGGGTCGCTCCTGGCCGCAACAGCTGCACGTTCATATAGCACTCCTGTTGTGGTTTGTGCGGGCCAGTTCAAATTAACGCCACTCTGGAATCTTTACCATGAATATGGAGCCTTAGATTTTGGCGACCCAAGTGCAGTCTTGGGCTTCGAAGAAGGTGATCTCGTGGACAAGGTTGATGTTGTCAACCCATATTATGATTATGTTCGTCCGGAACTACTCGACGTCTTTATCACAAACTAGTGAGTGTGCTCCATCACTAATCTTCACATTATACTTACCAAACGTATGTTTGAGTGGTGATCATCCTCCCTCTTCAATATACCGACTGCTCAAGGAAACGTATGACGACGAGGATAATGAATTGTAATATTATGTAGGATTATTTTGCGTATATCATTGTTGTATCACATTATTTTCTAATTATCTGTAGGCAAGCTATGTATACTTTGTGGCTCACCGTTTGAGGATGTCGAAGAACGCTTCTTGAGGCAAGTCTACAGTACCAATCCGTTTTAACCTCTTCTTACCCTCTTTTTGATTTTCCAGATGCTTCAGCTTTCGTTCATAGTGTCCTGACGTTCGATATGTCAGATTTTTCCCTTCAAATTTACTGGATCAGACATCACACACACACCTCCATAAAGCCCCGCCGTCACATCTGCACGATTTGCAGATAAGGTCTCACGGGCAATAACCTTTTTGCCTATTGCTGCTTGTATGGGGACTTCGAATAGCTGACGAGGGATAACCTTGTCTATATAATACAGTAAGCGAGGCGCGAGGTTGAAGATGAGATGGGTGACGTACGTAATTTCTTGACCCAAGCTCGCCCTATCGTGTCCTGGGCGGAGCGGTGAACGATGAGGGCCAGCGCATCAACTGGTTTTCCATTGAGTAGAAAGACCATCTGGAAATTTGCCTTGTTAAAACAGCACCTAAATTGGAATAATGTTATGTTGTACCTTTGCTAAATCACTTTTCTGGTAGCCTGCATCTTCATAACTGGTAATGCATAGTTCAAAACGAGGTATGGAGAAAGGATGCCCTTTACGTACTCGAAACTGGCAAATCCAGAGCTCCGACTCTTAAGTTGATCAAAAAAGTCCGTTACAATCTCACTGAGAGGAATGACACAAGTCAGAATGATACGGGATGAAGATGCATCAGAACCAGCGTCGAGGTATCGATGATCTAACTCTTCCGCTCGGCGTGAATAGCATAGTTCCATCATATCCCCAAAATACTCTGGAGGACAGTGTTAGGGCAGTGGCAAGCATTAACAAATCAAAGTAGAGAGGCGGTACCTTCGGGAACGATGATAGACGCTTTGACTATTGGCTCTTGGATTTCGGATACCTTGGTGGTACTGTCACTCATATCCGGAAATTCAGTCGGATTGCTGATAAACTTCTCCGTGCCGTCTCTGTACAAGACTGGAATGCGAATGAGCGGCTTACAATAGATGATAGATGTCATAGAATTCTTACCTTTATATGGAACAGTTGGTGCAGTTATAATGATGTTGGCATCGTATTCATCCTCGAGGCGCTGTCGAAATACGTCCATGTGTAGCGTACCTAGAAAGCCCAATCGAGTGCCCTGTCCTAGCGCGGAGGACGACTCTCGTTGAAAAGTCACACTTCTGTCAGTAAGAGTAAGCTGGAAAGGTCAGAATGAGTATTGGTAACCAAGCAGTTTGATGAAGGTACCCTTTTTATTGATTCTTCAAGTTTTGGAAAATCACTGCTATCCACAGGGAATATACCAGCGTAGACCTGTCTTCCTGATTAGCACATATGATTTACAGTTAGCCAGCAGAACAATTGACCATGGCTTTCGAGGGTTTGAATCCAGGCATAGGTGGTACGGGTTCACCGACACGATGTAAAGTATCACCGATATGAGCTACATAAACAAATCATCAAAAGATGGAACTCATAGGATTCTGTCTTATTGACACATACCTTCAGATGATTCCTTCATATTGCATGCAATATAACCCACTTGACCAGGGCAAAGTATATCTGTCGATACTTCTTCTGGGTACATGATCCCAATTTCCGCAATTTCGTATTTCTTCCTCGTATGGCAAGATGCGATTTTATCACCTAGATAGTCATCAGGACTTGGGGTTTCAATACAAGTTGAGCTTGACGATTGACCTTTGCGCAGTATACCGTTCTGAATATTCACCAGCGATATCACACCTCGATAGCGATCATAGCTGGTGAAAATAATCAACAAAACAACTTGGCTTATGAAACCGGAGTGAACGGACATACAGAGAGTCGAAGAGAAAGGCCTTCGCAGGTGCATCTCTATCACTCTGAGGAGCCGGGATACGGTCAATGACTGCTTGAAGAACAGATTCGACGCCCTTTCCTGTCTTTGCAGATATAGACAAGATGTCGGCCGGATTTATCCCAAAGGTAGATTGCATTTGAGCAGCAATGCGTTCAGGTTGTGCGGCAGGAAGGTCAATCTATGTACCTTCATTAGGAGAAGAAAACCAATAAATCGATAAGGTTCATGCCTTATTCAACACAGGTATGATCGTGAGTCCTCTTTCTTTTGCAATGTGGAAGACAGAGATAGATTGAGCTTGTACGCCTTGGCTTGCATCTACCTAGAACAATACATCAGTGCCCATGATATTTGGAGGTATTTGGCTGTAGAGGAATTTACATACTAGCAGCAATGCGCCTTGGCAAGCGGCAAGGGAGCGGCTCACTTCCCAGGCAAAATCGACGTGTCCCTAGGAGAATGAAGCTTCTAAAAACGTCCACACTCTATAAAGCAGTTAGGGAGACCCACAGGAGTGTCAATCAAGTTCAAAAGATGCGATTTTCCGTTACTTGAATGCACCATACTAATAGAGAATGAATGAGCATAACGTGCTGAATGCTTGTCATAAACTGACCTTGCGGTCTGCGCCTTTACTTCCTCGGAAGGTGTCAACGTCCGTATATTGTGTAGATGGTTGCATACCTGTGATACCGCGTTCTCTTTCGACTTTCAATTTGTCGAGTACTTGCTCATTCTTTCCTGTTTCCTTCTTCTTAATTGTTCCTGTGAGCTTGAAGAGAAAAGTGATTAGAGAAAGCTCATCCAACAACGACGTAGTTGAACCTCGAGCAATCTAACTGAATTTGAGAAATACAACGACTTGAACTACGCAAAATGCGCACCGGTCCGCGAGTGTGGATTTGCCATGGTCAATGTGAGCGATGATGGAGAAGTTGCTGGGAGCTGGTAAGCGTGAGCCTGACAGCATTGATTCTAGTACATGCTCACCGAATTACATCAAGGGGGAATTCTTCCATCCTTAGCGACTTTGGGGCGCCTGAACGCGAGGAGGTACTGAAGGCAGGGAATGTTGCATAATTTGGAGGTCTAGAGGCGCGTAGGCAGACATTACGCCATAAGACCTTCATTGGTCCAGGAAAACTTTCAACACAAAATTCTGAACGACTGTGAGTTCTTTAGTAGCTCATGGCCGTCAGGTATGTAAAAGAAGTTTGAAGTATAATGTCAAGTGTGCGAAAATCGTATCCGCGGAACTTCCTCAGTCTTTCACCACAACAACCATGTCTCTGGCGGAAAGCTCAGAAACACGGAAGGCACGATTGCAGGAGTTAAAGCAGAGGAAGGAAGCGAGGTATGTAAATGCTACTTGTGTGGTGAATGAAGATATATAAACCTCTTGCAGTCAAGGAATTATCAAGAATCGTAACTTTGACCCAGAATCACGAACTTTGAAAAAACATACGGCGTCTGAAGATGTAGAGATGGATACTGTGGAGAAGAACATCGATGGATTGGCGCAGTTAGTTATCGCAGAGGATGAAGAGAAAAGGGCCGAAGAGTTGGTACGCAGAAGCTGCACTACCTCGGACTTGGGTTTGAAACTAATGTATCTCAACAGAATGTATTCAATATCGCACCCAAAAGACCCAACTGGGATCTCAAGCGTGAGACTGACAAGAAATTAGCCAAGCTAGAACGCAAGACCCAAGAAGCCATTCATACTCTTATCCGTAAATAATTCTACCTTTTCTGCGCTCTGAATGGTCATTTTGATGAATTTCCTTCTAGGCCAACGACTGGCTGCTCAAAAGGGAGAGTCCGATGACATTGTGGGAGCAATGAGGGCTCAGGAAAACGCTCAAAACGAAGAGGCTCTATCTGACGAGGAATGAGCACACTCTTTTCTTACAACGCGAACGTTGTATCGTGGGTCAATCCATATGTCTATCATAGCAAGTCCTGATTGGAGATCTACAGCAGCTGAACTCGGACTTGCCCAGGACTTGCCTGAAGACATGCTACAAGGTTGGTCATCACACAGTGAAAAGGTTGCTTCCCGCGTTCCGTCTGTCGGCGTTCTTTGACCCCGCATATCAGGAAGAAGAAGAAGAATAAATTGTCATGGAGAATATCATTTGGACCAGTCATATTACGATGCCGTCTCAAGGACGTGAGGGTCGGCCCTCAGGCCTCAGTAGTTGGTAGTTTCTGTGCTTGACTAGTAGTCACTGTTTCCCCAGACACATTACTGTTAATCATGCACTGTGAGTCGTTGGAAATAATAGGCTCACTGTATCTCATGTCGCAACAAACATTTCTGGCGCGCGCGAGTGAAGAGTGAATCACTGAATGGGTTATGTACCTCTATGTACTTCACCGGATGGTTCCGCCATGCCTATATGCCGCAACTTGACTTTTCACCACAACCACCATGCATCCTTCTATCCGTCTCTTCACTGAGCGAGTACATACTCCTCTCATCCGTTTCCTAGGAAAACGCAGCTGGCCTTCAAGTGAGTATACAGATTACTAGCTCACTTAGCTGAATTATTAATACTTGACGCCTAGGTTCAGAAACTCCTCACGCACATCCATTTGCTCCTCCCGAATTCCGGAATAAAAACTACACACAATTTTCTAAAGCACCTGATCCAGCCTCTTCTACGCCGTTCCGCACGTCATCAGAGTCGAAGAGTGCAAATGTGTTCCAAGAGTTTTGGGAGGCGCCGGAAAGGCTTTGGAAACCTAGAGTGCACCACCTAGAAGAAGCCGAAATTGACGCGATATTGGTGCGTCGACGAGTTTCAATTTTTTTATACTGGATCTGATATCATCCTGCTTGGATATAGAGTGGTGGTGCATCTGTGCAGTCATAGTTTTGTCGGTGACCCGGTTTCAGAGCAAGCGTTTGAGCCTTGACTTGTTTATTTCTTAATTTTCAAGGACGTTGCGTCCAAAAACAAACTTAAAGAGTCAAGATTGTAGAAGCATCAATGACATTATTACACTAATCCTTCTCAGCATACGCCAACAGGTGTTTCTCAATTTCCGATTCGTCCATCGTTCGCCACGATCCCTGTGTTTTGACATCTTCTTCTGGACTTGTCGACACAATACCGATCTCAATTTCGGAGGGCTTGTAGTCAACACCATGCACAGTTGACATTGCTTCAATAGCCATCTTTGATGATAAATCAGTTAGGCGAAAGGCTGCAGTAATCGACAACATACCTCGATGACCTCAGCTCGGCTAAGTTTCTGACCAGCAGCGACAGGATCGTCAGCACCCCGCCCATTGTCGAGTTTCTTCCATTTCTTCTCTAAATGATTCATGGCTTCTTGTTGTTTTTGACCAGCGGCTGTCGCGTGATATCCTACAAAGTAGCCTGCAGGATCAAGTTTGAAGCATTGAGGGCCGTACTCCGCATCGATACCAATAAGAATCATAGCTCAACATGGTTGAGATCGACGCAATCGAACGAAGGAGGTGAATAGCATACCGATTCCGAACGGTCTCATTCCAGCACGTTGAGTGTATACCTGATTGATATTTGCGATACGTCTTGCGAGCTGGTCGGGCGACATTTCGTATCCATACTTATGCCGGTGGTCTGCAGCTTCACTTCTGGCTCGAGCTATTTGTTGGCGAGCATCGGCTGAGGAGACCGCGTCAGCACTTTGGAAGTAACTATGAGAATTGACACACACCGATAAGACCTGTCATTACGCAGCCAATTGTTGGAGTGATACTGAATAAATGTGTAACGGTCGAGGCATCCAAGAGTTTGTCCTGAAACGAGAGTTTTAGAACGCTCAACAAAGCAGATCTATGTATGTACTGGAACTTTGCGTTGCGTGATCACAACCGAAGTATCCTTGCCACGGACTGCCACTGATGTGTGTCCAGAGCCAGATATCGCCTTGAATGCGTATTCTAGCGATGAGAAGATTTGAGTTCTCAAGGATGGGGTTTTATTGCCTTAACCTACCAACTTGATAAAGCCGCCCTTCTGGGGAAAATACGGTGAGGTATCTGAGTGTTATATCAGCATACATGACACAGACATAACTCTGAGTGAATAAATACCGGTCGTAGGATGTTCTGGACATGGTGGTAAATACGATAGAAAGGGCTGATCTTGGACGCGTAAGTCCTTGTAAGTCTCGTGTCACGCGTCTGGCTCACTGTGTCACAGTAATAATAATTTTCTGCTCTTTGACTTTCCCTTCCGAAGTTCCGCGATCTTTCCTCGTCTATATGTTATAGTAGCAGGTCTCGGTCCTAACGGGTTAGAATGAAGGAATCTGTCTCTCACCAGGCTCCAAAAGTCATGTTCGCGCAATCGATCTTCATCCTTTCCCTTCGCACTTCTAACTGTCGTATCCTTTCAGTAAGAAGCTACAGTTTAGTCTGCTGAATGCCCAGGACACTGTGAAGTATGCCGAGTTCGAAGTTACCCATCGCGATCTATACACACACAACGAACGACTTCCAGTGAAGGACGGTGTACTCGATCGTCGTCTGGTTGGTCTATGTAGTCATCAATGCCTTCATATTACTGATTCTACAATTCTGTTTTCCTTCTCTAGGGAACCACAGAGAAAAATGCTTTTTGTGAGACGTGTGGTCAAGCCACTATCGATTGCGTCGGTCATTATGCGTATATCAAGCTGGTCGTTCCCGTCTTTCACATTGGTTACTTCAAACATACGATCGGAATTCTTCAGTGTATCTGTAAGGTACGTCTACCGTGTCATCTGCTTGAGTTAAGCTCACTAACACTTAGACATGTGCCCGCGTTCTTCTTGAAGAACCCGATCGCCGTAACTTCATCAAACGTTTTCGAAGGCCAAACCTAGAAAATATGCAACGACAGGCTTTGACCAAGGCAGTCAACACGATGTCCAGAAAGACAGTGTACTGTCCATACTGTTCGGCTACCAACGGCGCAGTGAAAAAGGCAGGAGCCTTGAAAATCATCCACGACAAGTTTCGCGCGAAAAAAACCGCCGAAGAGATGGAAAAATGGAAAAAGTCATTTGCGCCAGCTCTCGAGGAGCAGAAGGATCTCGCGCTGTATCTGAATAAGGCTGTACATGAAGACCTCAACCCATTGAAAGTTCTGGATCTTTTCAAGCGGATATCAGACGAGGTGAATAACTCGCTCATTGTAATGATTAATCATGTCGTTGAAACCCACCTTAGGACTGCGAGCTGCTCGGCATGCAACCTAAATTCGGTCGCCCAGAAGAATTCATCTGGCAATATATCTCTGTTCCCCCAGTTTGCATCCGACCGTCCGTTGCACAAGACGGCGGATCAAACGAGGACGACCTTACCGTCAAACTGACTGAAATCGTTTTCACAAACGCGGTCATCAAACAAGGACTAGCAAGGGGTGTTCCTACCCCACAATTCATGGAACAGTGGGACCTGCTTCAGCTTTCTGTCGCAATGTATATCAACTCTGAGCTCCCTGGAGTACCATCTCAAATGGGATTGAAACCTATTCGAGGTTTCGTGCAACGACTTAAAGGGAAGCAAGGTCGTTTTCGTGGCAATTTATCCGGAAAGCGTGTGGATTTTTCCGGACGTACCGTTATTTCCCCTGATCCCAACTTACGAATTGACGAGGTCGCTGTGCCGCAGCGCGTTGCACAGATACTGACCTATCCCGAGCGCGTCACGTCACATAATATTGAAGCACTGCAGCAAGCAGTTCGGAACGGGCCAGAAATTCATCCTGGAGCCAACTTCGTGTCTCGTGGTCAGAATAAGAAGTTTTTGAAGTTTGGGAATCGGAAAGCCATTGCAGATGGGCTTGCTATTGGTGATATAGTGGAAAGGCATATCATTGATGGTGATGTTGCCCTGTTCAATCGACAGCCAAGTTTACACAAGGTACGTATGTTTCGTCGTACGTTCGACTCCCTTACCAATTATTCTTGTAGCTTTCAATTATGTGTCATAGAGTAAGTGATTTCGTGCATTCAGCAATATCACAAAATTGACTTTTGGGGTATAGGTGAAAGTACGGCCTTGGAGAACGTTCCGTCTGAACGAGTGCGTCTGTGGTCCATACAATGCTGACTTTGACGGTGACGAGATGAACTTACGTGCGGTCTGCCCCTTCCCCTATGGTATCTCTACTCAAAAATAAAATTAAATAGATATACCTCAAACCGAGGAGGCTCGAACCGAAGCATTGGAGCTAATGAATATCAAACACAACCTTGTAACACCTCGTAACGGCGAGCCTGTCATCGCAGCCATCCAAGATTTCATTACGGCCTCCTACCTGCTTTCCCGCAAAGATCAATTCTTTGACCGTCGACAGGTTACCCAGATATGTTGCTATATGGCTGATGCAAACCTCCAGATTGACATCCCACCCCCAACCATCTTGAAGCCGGTTCGCCTATGGACAGGCAAGCAGATCTTTAGCGTCTTGATGCGACCCAACCGAAAATCCAAAATCATGGTAAACGTAGAATCGAAATGTCATCGATGGGAAGAGGCTAAGCCCGAAAATTATCCCGATAGGATGAAATTGGCGAAAGATATGTCGCCTAATGATGGTTGGCTCGTCATCGTCAACAGCGAGGTAATGTGCGGGGTCATGGACAAGGCTATCGTTGGAAGTGGGAAGAAGAAGTCAATTTTTGGAGTCATCATGCGGGATTACGGTCCTCACGAAGCAGCAGCAGCTATGAATCGTCTCGCAAAACTGTGCGCACGCTGGCTAGGTATCTTATCTCGTGCAATCAACCAACAACCAATCTTAACTCTTCTTTTTTGTAGCCAATTACGGATTCTCTCTTGGTATCAACGATGTCATTCCTGGGCCTGAACTTTCGACAAAGAAGGATGGCTTGGTCGAGGAAGCTTATGCACATTGCCAGCGTCTTATTACCAAGGCAAAGAACGGAGAGCTCGAGAACAAACCTGGCTGTGATCAAGAGCAGACCTTGGAAGCGGAGATATCTTCTGTGCTTTCAAAGGTCCGTGAAGCAGTGGGACAGATATGCATGAAAGAGTTGAGCCGTCAGAATGCCCCGCTTATTATGGCTACATGTGGTTCCAAGGGTGTGTCGCTCTATATGCTTTTCTGTATCAGTACTTATCTGAATTTCCGTAGGCTCCGTCATCAACGTCTCTCAGATGGTGGCTTGTGTTGGGCAACAAATTATTGCAGGCCATCGTGTCCCTAATGGATTCCAAGATCGCTCACTTCCCCATTTCCCAAAACACTCCAAGGAACCACCATCCAAGGGCTTTGTTCGTAACAGTTTCTATTCAGGTCTGGTGGCTACTGAATTTCTATTTCACGCCATTTCCGGGCGTGAAGGTCTTGTCGATACTGCGGTCAAGACGGCAGAGACGGGTTACATGCAGCGTCGTCTGATGAAAGCCTTGGAGGACTTGACTACGCAGTACGATCTGTCTGTACGTAATTCGACTGGTGGTGTGGTGCAATTTCGGTATGGAGACGATGGTTTGGATCCTGCGTGTCTTGAAGGGGACGCGCAACCACTGGACCTTGATCGAGCTTGGCAATACGCCACGGTGAGTGTATAACCTTTCGTTATCGTTACAATGCTGAACGTGTCCTCCAGGCCACAAGTCGGGTCGGTGCACCGCTGCTACCGTTCCAGATTATCGACCTCGTTGACACGGAGCTAGGAACGAAGCGATTTACCACCGAGTGTACCCCGACTTACGTGGACTCCCTCAGAAATTTCCTTGTTGATAATGTGGTCACAAAGCTCGCCCGTGCTCGAAGTGACCAAGGAATGTACGACGCCACGGAGCGCTCAAGCGAATGGGACGAGGATACTGATCTCTCATTTGGTGCTTCTGGTGCATTAAGTTCCCCAATCAAACATTACTATTGGCTCATCTCTCTCTCTCTCTCTATTTTTCCAGAGGCCGCCAAAGCTGCCGTAAACAACAAGGTCAAAGTGACAACAAGGCAAGTGAAGACGTTCTTAGATCTTTGTTGGGTCAAGTACGTGAAAGCTCGCATCGAGCCAGGTAAGCATATTCTCCATTTTCTAAGTGAGATGACTGTAGTCAAGGGTGATTATTGTAGGTTCCACTGTAGGAGCTGTTGGAGCTCAATCCATTGGCGAGCCAGGAACTCAAATGACATTGAAGACTTTCCATTTTGCTGGTGTCGCCTCTATGAACGTAACTCTCGGTGTCCCGCGTATCAAAGAAATTATCAATGCCGCTAAGGCGATCAGCACACCTATTATTAGCTGCAAACTAGTTACTGCTGATAGCGAAGCTTCCGCGCGAATCGTCAAAGGTCGACTGGAGAAGACGCTGCTGGGTGACGTGAGGGTTGATCTCATTTGAACAAATGTCAAATTCACTAAACGTTGATAATGGCGGATTTAGATATCTAGTGTTCTAGAAGAAGCATGGGCTCCTGAGTATACCTACATCGGTGTTTTGGTTGACACGGACGCCATCCAAAAACTTCAACTCGAACTGACGCTCGACGATATCAAATGGGCAATCGTTGCAGCGAAGAAACTCAAGATCAAGCAAGAGGTATGTTCATGATCTACTGCAATTCAGTTCGTAACTCCAACGATGAAACTTGATTGTTTACAGTCAATCACTATCATTCCAAGAAAGAACAGACTCCGTATATACGTTGACGGTGTAGACAAGTTCTATCGACTGCGTGAACTAAAGCGAACTCTCGCTGACGTTGTGGTCAAGGTAAGTCGAGTTTCTCGCAAATCACCATCGCATTTCTCTTATTTTCTTTTCAGGGTGTGCCCACTATCCATCGAGCGGTTATCAACATTAAGGAAAAGGATGATCAGAGAGGCAAGAAAGGAGACAAGGAGCTTCTAGTTGAAGGCTATGGTTTGCAAAAATGCATGATCACTGAAGGTTTGGAACTTGTTGCCTTTTCTGGAGATCGAAACTGAATTTTATTTCGTAGGTGTCATCGGAGAACACACTTCATCAAACCATGTCATCGAAGTCGCCCAAGTCTTGGGCATTGAGGCTGCCCGCAGGACCATCATCAACGAGATTCAGTACACCATGAAATCGCACGACATGAACATTGATCCTCGTCATGTCATGTTGCTCGGAGATGTGATGTCCTATAAGGTTATTAAAGTTTCTGTTCTTCATTGCTCACATGCATTCAACTCTGTCTTTAGGGTGAGGTGTTGGGCATCACCCGTTTCGGTGTCGCCAAAATGAAAGACAGCGTGTTGATGCTGGCTTCATTCGAAAAAACCACGGACCATCTTTTTGATGCGGCTGCGTTTGGGAAGAACGACAGCATTTCGGGAGTGTCTGAAAGCATCATCATGGGTAATGCCGCTGCTGGCTGTGGTACTTCGATGTAAGAGATTTGTTCTTCCTTCCAAACTTAGCTTCAAGTTGATTCTTCCTATTCATTGTAGGCCACACCTGGTTTCTGTCGCACCTTCACTTAGCAAACCTAGAAAATTGCTCTTCGAAGACGCATTATAACTCGCAATGTGATGAAGTTATTCTCGTTGGCAGATCTGAAAGTAGTCGAGTATTCTTGTGTAATATTTTTGCATTTCATTGTACTTTTTAGCATCATGGCATTTCCGAAATAGACTTTAGGGAACAAAACTGTATCCGTCTAGAAATACAATCTGTAATTAGGGTGCACGATCCGAATTTAGTGGGTACAACGAGGAAAGGCGATCCAGTGTCCACAAACAAACATTCAGATATCAGGTAAACTTGCTCAGTAGTCCTTTGAGGTATTTTTCCTTGCTTCCGTTGTCTTTACCAATCTGTTTACTTTGCTTCTCCAGCGTAGCGATAGTACGTTCCATGCGGATCGGAAGGGTCTTGAGTGAATTTGTGGCGGGGTTAACTAGCAACACGCGTTAGCATATTGTGAATGGTAAAACCGACTAATACCCACGAATATCATCCAAGGCTGCTTCAAAATCCACCCAAAGACGGTCACGTCGAGTACAGGCTTCTTCCAATTGCTTGAGCAGATCTTGAACTCGCGCCTGAATATCCACAAGGTCAAATAACTGAAGAAATATGTACGCATATATCCACTGTCGAAGTACTACCTGAGAAGTACGATATGCTTTCTTGAGCTCGTTGTGACTACTGATAGTGACTGCTTCTAATTTCTTGCAAGCTTCGTCGAATTCGAGTACTCCTAGAGCGAAAGAATCGTCGACTTGGTCGTTTAGGACTTGATGGCCGTGTTTCACCAGATTAACAGCGGGAACTAGAGTGTCTGCGACGTCATCTAGGAGTTCTTTTGAGTGTACGGAGAAAGCGGCTTGAATAGAGTCTGCCAGAGAGCTGAGCTTGACATCTTCGTGTTCTTGTTCATAGCTGACGAAGCATGTAAATCAGAATTTTCGAAGAAGAGACCAGTATGGATACCCGTCATGAAGGAGATCCGAAACTAGCGTTTTCTCGTTCTCCCAAGTGAATGTCGGCCGTTCTTCTTCGTCGAACACTTCGTCCACGTCTTCTTGTTGTTCAAAGGGGTATACTGGATTTAAACGAGAGCGGCGGCGATCGCGATCAGGAGAGCCAAAGATTTCCGGTATAATTGGAAGAACGTGTTTGGATCGGGATTCGGGAGGATTTCTACGGGCTGGAACGCGTCCTCTGTAGAGCAGCGGAGACCGTTTGAAGGCTGTAATTTTGAGAAGAATGATTAAGGAAGCATGTCATTTCAAGATGAACCATTACTAGTAGCAGAAAACAATGGAGATTTGGTCTTCTGGAGAGACTTTGGATGGTTATAAGGAGCCATGAAGCTTGAAGCTTGAAGTACCAGAAGAAAAGGCGTGTGGTCGGTGGACGACGGTAGACCGGCCGGAGCGCTCCGAAAAAAACCATTATAGTATTGATAAGCGAGCTTGCCTCACTCCTTTCTTTCCATCAAAAAGGTTTGGCCCTTTCGTCTATCCCTCCGCTGTTGAGTTTTTTCCCGTCCTCTTCCGTCACTGTGCTTGTCCGTAGTCGACTGGCCACTTTTTTTGTCATCCCTTTCATCTTCTTACACAATGAACGCGCGGCCGCACAAGGTTCGTCCTTCTCTCTCTTAGTCTCTCTTCAAAAGCTGATTTGGGTTCGAAATCACCAGCAATCCATGTCTGAGCTCAAGCTCCGTAGACTGGCAGAGCACAATCAAAGGCTGAAAGAGGATCTGGCAAGGCCCAGAGTTAGAGTAAGCGAGGCTAGTTCAAGGTATGTCTTTGCTTTCAATACATATCCGTTCGCCTCAGCAACCAATAATCAAATTCATTAGCTTAATCCGATACTGCAAAACAACCAAGGACCATCTTGTATGTTATCTTTGTGACGTCCTTTCTGGCGCTCAACCTCTTCGCTTCTCAGGTGCCGTCTGTGTGGGGACCAGTTGGCAAGGGCGAAGATCCATACGCGCCTCCAGCACAGGGTTGCAATTGCATCATAATGTGATATGCTCCCTTTCTTTTCGTTGTACTCTCGCTGCTTCTTCGCATATCCGCCTTTTCCCCGGATTTCTGTATGAATACGAACAGGCCAGGCCTCTGCGTCCGGTTTTGGCGCATATCTGGACTAGAAATCGTTCGCAAGTATCTTGTTCGAACTCACACACTCGTTTGAAACCCACCCATCATACCAACTCGAGTTCTCATTACCAGAACACACCTCATCATCCCCTTTTCCGTCGGTATAATACCTCGCAATATAGTTTCCTGCCCTTGATACTCTTTGTACAGCTGATTGCGTACATCTGATCACGGCAGTCCTTTCAAACCACCGTCCATTCTTTGCATTTGCAATTGTCTGCTTTTTTTACATTATACACTTATTGTTGATATCGTTTCCATTCTTCGTTGTCTATTCTTTATGGATTCCCTTCGCAATCTCAATGCTATGGCGTTTTTTTTTTAAATCTCGATTCAGCTTGAGTAGAACCTGAGAGATAGACCGTGAGTCTACGACTATCTTTACTGTGTTTGGAATTGCTGGTGTCCGTGCTCTGCGTTTAAATCATTCTTTTGGGATGGTGAACGTTGAGAAGGAGTGTCGAACGACGACCGAAGCATTGTCTTTTATATAGAAGAAAAATGTTCCATTTAGATAGCAGAAAAAAAACGGATTGAAATGACACTTGAAGTACAACAAATTCAATGGATGGGCTACATAGTAGATAAAACGGGTAGAAAGAGAACAAAGCGCGGCGATAAGATGAAGAGAGGTTATTCAAGATGAATGATGATGATGGAAGTAGAGGTACAAGTGCAATAGACAAATGATCCAGAATTATTTTGGTAGAACAGCCGACCTCCAAAACCTGAACGAAGAATTACTGAACAGAGCAGCACTTGCCGCCAGATGTTTGGCCATAAGGGTCTTCGCTTTTGCCAACTGGACCCCAAACAGAAGGGACCTATAACCGTGGATTACAGACAGTCAGTATTGAGGAAATTGCGAACAGACAGAGGGAGCCTTGCCAGATGGTCTTTGGTTGTTTTACAGTATCTTATGAGACTGTCAAAATCCAATGTTGAGTATACTTCGGTAATTGCCATTGCCAATCTTCAAGTACTCACCTGGCACTTGCTTCACTAACCCTCACCCTTGGCCTCGCAAGGTCGTCTTTTAGTCTAGCATTATGCTCCAGAAGCCTCCGCAGCTTCAACTCTGACATGGCCTGTCGACCCCCAGTCCGAGAACTCATTTTTGCTTCAAAGTTCTTCTTCTTCTTCTACGTCACTCCCTCGCGTATAGGCCGACAGCTAGCAGATGATTGACTTTGTTATCTCTGAGGATTGATTACTGGAGTGGATGCTTCAAGTCCCTTCGTTGTTCCTGTTCCGTAGAAAGCAGATACCGCGGTAAGGACCAATTTAATTCGGGAGAGGAGAAAATGGTGCGTACACGTGTAGCTACCGAGAAATTTTTTGGATAGAGGGTGAGTTGAGGGCAGATGAAGGAAACTGCGTTGAGGATGTGAGTGATGATTGAAGAGAGACGGGTCCTGAAGGCGCTGCACACGGCGCTGGCACTTATTTAATTACTAAGGCTGACAATCGGCGAATAATTAGTCCCCTCATGGACCAATTCAATCAGAGCTAACGCATCAGATTCGGAAGACTATTGACAATAGTGTGTGCGAAGTTGTTGATATTCTGAGTTCTCCATGGGCATTGGTTTTCTTTTGCTCAGTTCACGAAATGTGGTAACATTCTGGCAAGCAAATACATGATCGATTTCCCTACAACTTGTTAAGGCACTGGATTGTCTACCGATATCGTGTACTGCGAGCTATACTTGACTCCCAGAATGGAGTGGTAAAAATAGCCGCTTACTGGTAAGCCCTGGTAAGCCTCATGAGAAGGACATGCACCGCAGTCAATCCGAGGGACAGGATGATAAATCAGTAAATGGCAGACGTGCTCATCATTTAACTGCTCATGCCATTGGACTATAACAAGTCTCACCATATCCACAACAGAATACACAAAGAATGCAAGTACCTTCCATCCCATCAAACCTTTCCCAAAAATTCGTACACATGGCTTTCGGGAAGCGCACCTACAAATTGCAGAACATTTTGTCCTTCTCGGAACGCAATCACTGTCGGAAGTGCAGTGATCTACCAGCAGTAAGAAAATTATACAGTTAGTTCAAAATCATCAAAAACAGACGATTGATCCATGTGTAGTGTATCGGACAGCCAGAAATTCTATACATACCTTGAACTTTCGACCCAGTTCCTGACCATCCTCGGATTCTGTGTCGATGGTCATGACATCCACCGGAAGACCAGTACCCGATCTCGCATCCGGATTGCTAGAAATGCTCTTGAGGATAGGTGACAACCTACATCAACGTGATGATCAAAACGGGGACCCCTCGAAAGATACGTCGACTGACATATGACAAGGTTGACACCAGCTGCAGAGATGTTCATTTCCAGGACCAGACTTCCAAAAACAAAAACGCTCACTCGGCGTAAAAGTCAACTAGTACCAGACGTCCTTCCGACTGCGGTCCGCTAGTGACTTTTTTGAAGGTCTGAGACAAACAAACAAACCCCCCAAAGGTTAGGCTCGACTTCCGTCCTTCAGCACTCTGTTGACACATACACCGAAATCCGCGTCTGCATAATGTTCCAAACGAGGCGCGCTCCTAGAAAACGTTCGAATTGATCGAGGAAAGACAGAAGACGCTTTGGATGATCTCAAAGCCTGAGAAACTAGTGATGATGCCATTGGAATAGATGGTCCTTTTATATGTACGTGCAGGAGTGGGGAGGAATGGAAAACCTCGACGTCGCCGACGCCAGTGTTATAAACAGAAATGAATAAATTGAGCCTGAGTCAGTAGGTCACGGAGTCATGTGATCGCCGCCGCGGCGTCGTCAATCGAGACTTCGAGACTCGAGGACGCGTTTTCTCGTTGGACCAAGTACGAGTTCAACACGGCTGGCCGAAATATCTACCACTATGATACAAGAATCACAAAACGATGTACATACAACACACACTTACCATATGCTTAAGGGGTGTCCACCAAAATCTGAAAGCAGATAACCACTGTTGGTGGTGTATTGGGCAGCACCGACAAAGATACCACATGCACCATGGACTGACCCTGCAGTTTTGAGTTGCTTTCACGCGCCGTTTTCACATAATCTAAGTCCTTCGAGGGGCGCGAACATGACTATGGTCCAACCTGGGTCCAACCCAACAGGACTCCCACAAGCGACGACCAATGCCAATTCCCAACCCTTTACTCGCCAGTACACGGCGCTGCAAGACTTGACAACCCTGAATTTCCAAGCAGCGTTGCAACTCCCGTCCGTCAGACTGGTAGAAACGCGTTCACTACACCTAGAAGGTTAGGGAGAAGTCCGAACGCCTCCCTAGACAGTTCTGCTCAAAGTCCGTTGATCGTTCGAGCTCAGAAAAAATGTGCCGTCCAATAATCCATACGGACAGTCATCCAGTGAGAACCTTATTGGTGGAACAGTATTTGGAAGAGTCGAGGGTATGATGATTGTACAGGTAGGTATATATGTCGTGGCAAATAGTATTCAGAAAATAACCTAAAACTTGCGCGCACTAAACATTCAGATCAGAACGGCCAATTATCTGAGAATATAGCCACATACCTAAATATGCTCATTCCTGATCATACATGTAGTACCAATGCGGAAAAATGTCGATTTCGATTGCCTTTTGGTACTGCTCAATAATTTCTCGAGTAAGCTGTTTGGGTCCAGGACGCCTCAGGCTGCCCAACGGTCCCAAATGATGTGAAAAGTTATCGAATAATGACACAACTCGTCCAAGGTGGCCTTGACGGGTAGAGTAAACAGTGGCCATTCTTGGTGTTGCCCAAGATAATTCCTTGGCTTTTCTCATAAAATATGTAGAGGCGACATCGTCATACGTAGCTTCCGCGCAGTGGGCTCCAGGCAGTTGGTCATCTGGATAGAGTTTTTCGTAATGCAGCTTTCCAACAGACTGCATGTGATCATCAGGAATTAAGAAACCGAAACACATTCTAGGTCCCATAGCGAAATCTAAAGTGAGAGACAATTAGCGAGCTGAGCATTACATTGCAACAAGATTCATACTAATAGTAGCAGCAAGAGGTCGAAGTTAATAATCACGCTCTTTTCACGTGGCCCTCATAGCGTTGAAACTTAACCTCATCGCGACTCGCAGTCGCCAAACAAAACGTTGGTATAATTCGGCATATGCAACGAATCGAGAAGATCATAAATACTCCGTGAATGCCATTTAGCCCTCTGTGAGTGAAGGGAGCACCTTCACGTTGAAATTCTCACAACTAGAAATGCGCGCTCACTGCTAAGTTATTTGAAGGGGCACAAGGTGATCAATGGATCCTTGATAATCTATATTTCCTCGGTCTGCGACGAGAAAAACATATTTGGGCTTGTGTCAGGCATGGACTGTCGTTTTTCGCAGGTTCTCCCAAGAATTTGAGCTCTACACTCCTAAATCAGACCAGAAGATCAATCGCCTCGTCACCCGTCACTTTCAACCAGGCCAACTTCATGAAAGATGATGGTGGAGACAATGCTAGAGAGTATCGTGGGTCGACACTTGAGACGCGTTCTCTCATTGGACTATGTCACTACACCTAAAAGTCAGCGCCTAAACGTACCAGTGACTCCGAATGTAGGAGTCAAAAATCAGAGCAACGATTGCCACAGTGTACCGTCGAGTGATATGTCGGAAACTTACACAAGCCACCCTTTACAGTAGTGAGTGAGTGAAGAAGATTCCATTGGTTGTACAGCATTTACAAGAGTCAAGGGCATAATTGTTGTATAGATATATATATCGTGGCAAGTAGGATTGAGAAAATATTCTTGCGCGTAAACATTCTGAAAATAGATATCTCAGAACGGTCTCTTACCTACTGATATAGCCACACACCTGGATGTGCTCACGCCTGACTCGTCAAGTAGTACCAGCGCGGCAATATGTCAATCTCGAGCACCTTTTGGTACTGCTCAATAATTTCTCGAGTAAGCTGTTTGGGTCCAGGACGCCTCCGGCTACCCAGTTGTCCCAAATAATGCGAAAAATTGTCGAATAGTGACACAACTCGTCCAATGCAGCCGTCACTAGTAGAGTAAACAGTTTCTATTTTTGGAGTTGCCCAAGGTAATTCCTTCGCTCTATCCATGAAAGTTGTGCAGGCAACATCGCCATACGTAGCAGGCGCACAGCGGTCATCAGGCAGTTCGTCATCCGGATACAGTTTTTCATAATATATCTTTCCAAAAGACTGCAGGTGCTCATCAGGAATCAAAAATCCGAAACACATTCTAGGTCCCATAGCAAAATCTAGAGCAAAAGACAATTAGCGAGCTGAGCATTACATTGCAACAAGATTCATACTGATAGTAGCGTAGCAGCCTGAGGTCAAAGTTAATAATCACGCTCTTTTCACGTGAGCGTTAAAACTTAAAACTTAACCTCGTCGCGACTCGCAGTCGCCAAACAAAACGTTGGTCAATAATCCAGACATGCGACACATCGAGCAGGTCATAAATCCTCAACGAATGCCATTTTGCCCTCTGTGAGGTGAAGGGAGCTTCTTCGCGCAACGTCTCAGAACAAGAAATATCGGAAATGCACGTTGCCAAACGGTTGTGAGATAATCAGTGTTGGTCATGTATTGTGCAGCACCGACAAAAGATACATATACACCCGACATGACTTTCGCGAGGTCACGGACTCATTCTACATCCTTGTTCAAAGATCGTTGTCACGCGCCATCTCCACAGAAGCTCTTGAAAGTCCTTCGAGCGGCGCAAACATGACTTTGGCCGAACCCAGCAGCACTCCCACGAGCAACCACCAGTGCCAGTATGCGTCCCTCAGACAGGTTTATCCAAGAAGAAAGAGTCACTAGACCTAGAAGTTAGTTTCTAAACGTACCGGTGACTCCGATGTAGAAATCAAAAATCAGAGTAAGGACGCCGAAATGTGGCGTCGAGTACATAACGTTTCGGAAAGGTACACAAACCACTCTTTGAAAGGTCGACAGCAGTAAGTGAGTGAAAAAGATCATATTGGTGGTACAGTATTTGCAAGAGTAAAGGGCATGATTGTTGTTGTACATCGTGGCAAATAGTATTCGGAAAATATCCTAATACTAGCGTTCGAACATTCTGAAAATCAATATCTCAGAACAGCCAATTATCTGATAATATAGCCACACACCTAAATGTGCTCACGACTGATCCGTCAAATAGTACCAGCGCGGCAATATGTCGACCTCAATCGCCTTTTGGTACTGCTCGATGATTCCTCGCGTGAGCTGTTTGGGTCCAGGACGCCTCGGACTACCCAGTTGTCCCAAATGATGCGAATAATTGTCGAATAGTGACACAACTCGTCCAATGTCGCCATCACGGGTAGAATAAACAGTTTCCATTCTTGGAGTTGCCCATGGTAATTGTTTGGCTCTTTCCATGAAAGTTGTAGAGGCGACATCGCCATACGTAGCGTGCGCATAATAGTCTTCAATTTCGTCATCCGGATAAAGTTTGTCGTGATACATTTTTCCAACAGACTGCATGTGTTCATCAGGAATTAAGAATCCGAAACACATTCTAGGTCCCATGGCAAGCCAAATTTTCGAGAGCACGAGATCTGGAGCAAAAAAAACGATTAGCGAGCTGAGCATTTTATTGCGCACCACAATCCTCACACTGATAGTAGCTAGAGGTCGAAGTTGGCCCAGAGAATTACAATCATGACCTTCTTAAATATCCCTTTTCACGTGACCCTTGTGGCGAATTTGCGGCTTCCTACTAAATTAACGATACAATGATTGTTCTCCTTCTCGCCATCTAATTCTTGTCAAGCTTGAATCGGTCGGTCAAAATAACTCTAGCTTCCTTGTGCGATTGTTCTCAAACCTTGCGTTTGGTTACGAGTTGGCACAGATTGGCAAAAAAAATTGGCGCGAGCTTTATTCATACCATCAAATACTGCAAGGAACGAGAAAGGAATGCAGAAAGAACAAGATCGGTGGCGCGAGCGTGGATTTTGATGATTAAATAACGACTTTCGTCAGTGTAAGCAAAGGACCTAGCTAACTATAGGGAACAAGAGTCTAGTGGCAAAAGGTGCGAGCAAGAACGATAACCATCGCCAAGACCCTCCAAGACCCTTATCCTTGTTCCCATCACAATAATACAAGGTATCTAGACAAAAAACAAGTATTCTTTCTTAGTTTCCTTGTGTGTTGTGCACTAAGAATCTGCATGAATTAGTTCGTCTCGCCTTTCCTGATGAGCTTACCTATCATTGAAATCTCGCCACATAAGTAGCTTATGCTATTTCGTACTAGTAGCTTTCTTATATTATTGCTGATTGTTCTCGAATCAGCGACCGAAATATAAAAGTAAGTTATGCATACCTCCTTTCTGCACAATTCTTTTCTTCTCTTGCGCATACCACACATCATATGGTTTATCAGACTTCCTCTTCTGTTCGCGATCTGAAGTCTCGTGGTCATTCCACAGCTTTCAATCCGCGTAATTTGGAACACGACTGGTATCCAGTTTGGAACGAGGTTTTCATTGATATGAAATCGCTTCTCTCCGATGTCTACATCTACCCCCAATATTTTCTTTGGTTGCGAAATTCCAAAGATCTGCCCCTTGCTCTCCGGAAAAGAATGCTGCAGCATCTTGACCCAAATGAACACGGGGTTACCCGCGAGCTTGATGATGCAGACCACACACTCTTGGCGTTACAGGCTGATATCGATGACTCAGATATTGCGCCGCTATTGGCGTCGTCATTGCTCATTGACGGGGATACCTCGTTTGGAAGCACCATCACTGTCTCTGGCTCTGAAAAGGACCTAATACCCGACTTCTCATTTATGCATCTTACCTCGGTGCCTTTGGGTGGATATTGTGCAAATTCAGCATATGCAACAAGCCGAGCGGACCGTAAAATCCTCCACGAATGCCATTTGGCCCTCTGTGAGGTGAAGGGAGCACCTTCACGCCACTTCTCAGAACCACGAAAATCGAAGATGCGTGCTGAATTGTTCGAAGATGCACAGACTGATCTGGCCATGTATGCCAATCTGTATTTCGTAGCTGAGGGTGGTATGCGACGAGACAAACTTCTTCTTTGGGCTTGTGTTGGTGCATTCTGGACATGGACTCTTGTTTCTAGGGAAGAAGTTCCGGCATGGGATTGGGTTACAGGGTCTTTCGCTTCAGGAGCCAGTCCTGGTAGGTTTCGTCGCAGGTTCTCACGAAATTTTGAGCTCTGTACTCCTGAATCAGACCAGGAAATCAATTACCTCATCACCCATTACTTTCAACCAGACCAAATTCATGAACGTGAAGGTAATGATGGAGATGACGTCATGAGCGAGGAGGGTGATTAAGTGTGTTTTTTGCATCTGATTTGTCCATTTAAACCATTTTTCTGTCATGTATGTATCAGAGAGTCTACTATAGAGAGACTGAGTTTGCGCTTTTCTACTTTCGAGGAATTGTTGAGTCAGTCACTTGGATAGCCAGCATGGTGGTGGTACACTGCACAATCTAGAAGATCTAGAACTTGTTCTGAGGCAAACAACCTTGAAAAACTCGGCGAAGAAATTATTTACGTGTCCTGTGAACCGTTTCCAGTACAGCGATGTCCACATGAACTCTACAGGAAGGTGTGAACAACAGCTTTCATAGAAATGGGCTATTCAGTCGATAGAACCAGTCGTACTCACTTGTAACTATGTGCGAGTTCAAGATGGTTAGCCAACCTCATTGAAACAGTCGACAAGCGGCGCAAACATGACTTGGGCCGAACCCAGCACTGCAGCACCCCCATGAGCAACCACCAATGCCAATATGTCATTGCCATTGCCTGGCCCTACTTGTCAATGCACGGTGCTGCAACACTTGATACCGTCCCTCAGACTGATTTGTCCAAGATAAAACAGTCACTAGACTTCAGAGTCAGTTTCTAAACATACCAGTGACTACGAATGTAGGAATTAAAAATTCAGAAGCGTCTAGTGATATTTCGGACAGGTCACTCTTGAAAGGGTTGACAGCAGTGAGTGAGAAAAATCTTATTGGTGGTACAGTATCTGGAAGTCAAGTCATGCTTGTTGTCGTTCAGGTTCATATATCGTGGCAAATAGTATTCAAAATATCCTACTTAAACTTGCGCGTAAACATTCTGAAGTTAAATATCGATATCTGAGAACGGCTGAAGTATGTAGCTGCTGATATAGCCACACACCTGCATGTGCTCACGCCTGATCCGTCAAATAGTACCAGCGCGGCAACGTGTCGATCTCCAGCACCTTTTGGTACTGCTCAATGATCTCTCGAGTAAGCTGTTTGGGTCCAGGACGCCTCGGGCTACCCAGTTGTCCCAAATAATGTGAGAAGTTGTCAAATAGTGACACAACTCGTCCAATGTCGCCGTCACGGGTAGAGTAAACATTGGCCATCTTTGGAGTTGCCCAGGGTAATTCCTTGGCTCTTTCCATGAAAATTGAAGAGGCAACATCGTCATACGTAGCTTCCGCATAGCGGGCTGCAGGCATTTGGTGATCCGGATAGAGTTTTTCATAATACATCTTTCCAACAGACTGCATGTGCTCATCAGGGATTAAAAATCCGAAAGACATTCTAGGTCCCATGGCGAGATCTAGAGCAAGAGACAATTAGCGGCTGAGCATTCCATTGCAACAAGATTCACCTAGTATATCCAGAGGCCAAAGTTGGTAAGAGAAGTACAATGGAATGAAGCGTGTGTTTAATAATGAGCGCTTAGAGAAATTGGATTGGTTCGAAATGTATCCAGCATTGATTCGATGCAGGAAGATCCAGGGAAGATCTTTACCACGTACTCCGAGAGTTTGGTCGTCTTTGCTCGTGTACGAGGTCTTTGTCGTTCGTCGCACAGGTCAATTCGCAGTCGTTCAAAAGGGCCTCATCCAGTTCGAAACTTCAAGAAAATGTGTGTTCATATGATGGATATCAAGGCCGAACAAATGATTCCAGCCACGGATGTTCGACATTCTCCTGACTGTAACCTGCAATAGTCTCAACTTAGCAAGCTATTTTCTAGTCCAGCGATGTCCAGATAAACTCTACGGGAAGGTGTGAACAACAAGTTTTACAGGAATGGAATATATATGTAATAGAGACAGTCGTATACTCACTTGTAACTACGTACAACTGCAAGATGGCCAACCTAATCCGAGACAGTTGTGCTATGTTTTGATATATGTACCTGCAGTATCCACTACCATATGTCATGGCACGAAGGCAAAAAATGGAATCACTAGAATATCACCAATGAATATGTATGTTAATATTCACAGTTCGAATTTGATGCGATGATACATCTCGGCCATCTTTCTCATATCTTCAACACTTTCCGACGTCTTCAAGCGGCCCTCTTCATCATATACTTTCGGGTCAAGATACTCAAACGGAGGCGGGGTTTCCGGGACACATGTGAAGTCTTGCTTGACGCCATAGTCATCAAAGCCCCAAGGCTCTCCGGGTTGAGACGGCGCACTAAGCAAGATAGCGTTGGTTGATTCCAGGGAAATATCAGAGTCAAAATAGTTCAGAGGGGTTAGGAGGAAGCTGCAACAAAAACGCTAAGTCGATTTACGAACTTTCCTGTATTGATTATGACACACCTTGACATGGCTACTGTGGTCTTTGTGTTAGGAGAATCTTCCGCTTGGGGCTACGAAGAGGTAGTAGTGAAAAGTAAGTGATCTCGCTATCCAAACCGCCCAAAATATAGAGAACTAACCATATGGTGAGTTCCGACATTGACCCACACCACTAAATCATCCTGAGTTATATTATCCCCATCGAAGAACTTGTGAAAATCGACCGTAGGTTTCCCAGGTAGGTTCATATTCCACATCGAACTAGATGAGGGTTCGGTCTCCTTGCGAAGAGAGACAGCTAAATTATATCGAGCCCAATTCGCGTTATTGAGGAGACGACGTGACCCAACGATGGTCTATGTGCAATGAGAGATGTATTCGCTTCTTCTCATGTATAGCGTTACTAGACTCACGTTATGAATGGGGTTATACCCTGCGTGAATAGCGTATCCACGAGGACTACCCCAAGCATTAGTCTTGTTTTGGTTCACAATAGAGTAGTGACCTTGGAAATTTATCGGGTACTTGAGGAGTGCTTCGTCCTCCGTCTCGATGATGCGCCTGGTGATCTTTTGTTGAATAACTGTGCGACCCCATTCATCGTCCTCCAGCCACGGTTGTTCGACAATCTCTTGACCTGCAATAGTCTCAAGCAAACTATTTTCCAGTCCAGCGATGTCCAAATCAACTCTACGGAAGGCGTGAAAAACAGCTTTTATATAGCCAATAGAGCCAATCGTACTCACTTATAGTTTATAACGTGGTCGTGGAGATTCCCCACTGGATATATTCAAGCGTGCATTAGAGATTGACTGGCTTGGAAAGTTGACGTCTGGCGACTGACTAGAATGCTCCCTAATTCTTCCTCCATATCCTTCCTGAAGGGGTTCCCAGTAGCCGCCTTGCAGATAACCGGAGGCTGAGAGTCGAACTTCCATCGTACCATCAATGTGGAACATATAGTCGAACTGAAGTATTTCATGAGTGCTATGCGTCAAGACCTTAGACCCGAGCAAAATGCGTACTACTGAATATGGTCCAGCAATGGACGGTTGAGTTAATCGACATGTCATGATGTTGAATCAACGCACCGTAGTCATAACTGCAGGTGGAAGGCCGATAAGAAGATGGTAACATTTCCATCAAGCAGGAGGCTTACTTTCCAACCACCGATATACTTCTTACTGTCAACATATAACCCTTTACAGCACCGAATTCACCTTCCATATAGCCAGTATGTCTACTCACGGGCCTACCAGTATCTTGTTCAAATACACAGATTGCTTTTTCGCGCACAATGACTCCGAGAGCAGAGTGTGTAGTAGCTGGAAGATAGACAGCCTCATGCGGGCAGTCATATCCAGGTAACAAATCCCTGACAGCAAGACCCATACCAAAGTGACGGTCCTGCCAGGCCGTGGTGGATTGGAGAGGATCGTTTCCAGCTGAAAGTACAACCATCATCATCGAGTACAGTCAGCTAAAAAATTAGATCAAACCGTATTGAGCTATGGCTTCCTGAGGAGCAAGCTTTCCATAGCAAGATCAGCGAAGGGCAGAATGCGAGCAAACATAGCATACCTGATATATGATCCTTTCTCCTTTCAGAGTGATATCCCAAAGGTTCAATCCCATGTCCCTATCAAAGCTGAGGTACATTACCCAGCCCATCCAAGATATATACTGCGTTGCTCGGTCGACTCTGAATCTCAACCCAGCGAACGAGACGGAACGAGGGCCAGGAAGGTGGTCAAGGTCTCTTGGAGTGCCGACGCGCTTGCGTGTTGTCCATGAAAAATCTTCATTGGCACCGGTCACTTGTTCTGGAACGCGAATAAGTGTACCGTTGCGATATGATTGAAGGAATTCCTCTGTCGATCCAAAGATCTGGTGGTTATAGACGATCTGATTAAATAAACGTTATTGAGTATCGTATATTTTGATCACTACGTAGTAGAAACGCTCTATACCTTCGAAGACTTCCACAGCGAAGGGTCTGTACCAGAGACGTCAATGTATTGCCAAAAGTTGATCGGCAAGAGCCATGGTCCGGGCAAATTTCTCCTCAGCGAGAACCACGTCTTTCGAGTGCTGCCGTCAAAACTAAATGGACCACCGGCCGAGGCAACGAGGGTATCATTATCATTTCCTCGTGCGGTCGCTCCGAATAGATCCTATAACGTAAATGAGTCTTCATTTATCCGAAATCGAATGAAAACCACATACGTCTAACGCTTCTGAAAGCTCTGGGGAAATAAACTTGAAGACGTCTCGCAACTCTTCGATGTTAACAAACCCTCGGGCGTTAAACGGAATCTCGCTTTCGTGGTAGATTTCGGACAACAGTCTCATGGACATTTGTTCACTGACAGGAAGAGGACCGACGAGGTAGTTCTTGATGATAGGAGCATCTGATCCACCGTGGTGAATCACGACATGAGCATACTTGTCTGGTGCACTCCCTCCGGCGAGATAGGCAAGAGCATCGGCTTTGGCAGGATAGTATGTCTCTATGAGATAGACGACGTTGTCTGACAAGATAGCAGATGATCCTCGAGTGAGATTGAGCTCTCTTTGAGGAGCTTCCAGCCATCTCTGAATATCGGTGATCTCAGAAACTACTAGTGGTGCCCATGGATTCGTGCGCGTAGGAGGTTTAGCCGCAGGGGCTATCGGGGAAGCACATTTATCCAAGCCAGGGTGCGCAGAATTTTGGAATGATTCTGTGAGTGAGGGCTTTTCTGGTGCAAGAAATAGTGCATAAAACGTGATAACGATGAACAGGATAAGGAATCCAAGTCGAAGGCGACGTGAAGGCACACCGCTGACGTCATCATTTTCGCGTGAATGTTCAGACTCGTTGTTCTTCACAGGAAGCAACTGATATCCCTGGCTACGGATAGGCATGCTCTGTAGTCCTAGGATTTTAAAGGGGGGGTGGTGGCTTGGGAAGTTCAGGTCTGGTATTTATTATCACGATAACGAAGCCCTCGGCTTTCATGCCGATATTCCGGTGGACGCTCAATTAAATCGAATTGAACGTTGTACGTATGAACATTCCGCAACATTTGAGATACCATGACTGGGACTAGGACTAAAGATACAGAGAATATTTCAGCCCACTTTACAGATCCTTGCTCTACCACAACCGTGAAATAAAATCTTGAGGTTGAAAAGAGTTATGATCAGATCGGTGTTGTTGAATTCATCGACAAGCCTACTTACTACTCTCGGTAAATCAAGTGTGTTTGACGGTAACGGTACTGCCACTGGAAGTAACGCTGGTGAGGACCTCTCCGTTCTGCTCAATGTCCAAGATCACTCCGGAAGCAGGGGTGAGGGTCTCAGAGCTCGTGGAAGCAGAAGCACCAGTAAACTCAACAGTTCCAAAGTTGGCGAAAGGAACGAGGCTGTTACCCTCCTCGAAGTCTTCAACAATCCATTCGGCGTTCTGCCCACGAAGAGCAGCCTGTTGGAATGAGAAAGTGAATACCCCCCTTGAAGTATTATAGTAATCTTGCTTTACTTACAGCACTATCGGGAGCGGAAAGGGCTTGGGTGACAGTCTTACCGGTGCTCTCGTTAGTCAAGGTGACGGTTCCTTTGGTGGAACTCGTTGACTGGACAGTCACAGTGATGGTGTTTCCGGAAGAGATTGCAAAGTTAGAGAAGTCAGTGGCGAAGTTGGGGAACCTTCAGGATAATCAATGAGCAAATGTATAGGAAAAAAAATGTATCGGCAGACCATTCAAACCAGGCGTCGTAGGTTACACGTCCTCCACTGATAGTGAAGTCGACACCAGATTGCAGGATAGACTGCGAGGCAGTGTCTCCATCAATGCCAACCCACGCAGAGGCAGCTCCACTGTTGCCAGAGGGGGTGGGAACGACGAAAGTACCGGTGACTTTGCTGAAAGTCTGTCCAGAGGGCGGGGTCTCGATGACAACACCAGACCAGTTCGTACTGAACTCGGCGTGGGTGGCATTGCTGCTAGCGATAGCAGCATTAGTGCTGGCGGTGAAAGGCCTTGACCTACGGCTTTCACGAGCAGCAACACGCTCAGCGAGACGCGAGGGGCGCGCGATGGCGACGGAGAAGAGAAGAGCACTAGAGACAAAGAAAGTAGAGAGCTTCATGGCGAATTGCGATTAAAGGTAAACTGTCCAAAGGCCTGTGAAGTGTCGGTTCTTGGTGCGAGGGAAGTGCTCGAGGGTCCGATGCTGTTCCAGTTGGGGCTGCTCGGATTTTATACCAGACATGAAGCCAGCTCGAAAGATTCGGAACTCGACCAGGTGGTGCATCTCGATCATCTGTTGGTAAACTGGAGCGACAGATGGTTGAGAATGCGTGCTGTGAGCTTTTTTTACATTGAAGGGCAGAATGCAGCTCACGAGCGAGGGTAGCATATGAGCTGGGGAACGTTGATGATCTCGGCATACAGTATCAACATGTCGGTCAATAGAGTTTATGAAGAGGTAATCTCGGAGATACAGCACTATCAAGAAGAATGGTGCAATGGGGAGAAGCTTGGCGCTGTGGACGCCCTGTAACCTCGTGAGCGCAGGTATCAAAATGGCATTGCTATTCACATTGACAAAGCTGAACGGTGGTTATCCCGTATAGACCGACCTGAACAGCATTCTTCCTCTCCAAAAGTTGATGTTTTTCCAACACGCCCTCCAAACATGGATCCTTCCGATGTTCTTCTGTGATTCAAGAAAGTTCGATGACCTGATCTCGAGCTCGAGACGGAATGATAACAAACATAGCACATCTGATCACACCGTGTTGCACAATAAACGCGTCTTCTTGGAAGAACCACTAGGCAAGCTGGTGTTGATGACGCTCTGTAACATCAAAATTACATATCCATGTTGTCCAGCCCCGATTGAACGAAAAGTCATCCTGGCGAGTGGAACTCACGTAGATAGGTGAGGTAGTCTGATATTGCCAATATAAGCGCAATAATGGACTGATTAGACACAATAAAATCAGGCAATAACAGCATGCGAAGGCGACAGATATCAGCAGCAGAAAATAAAGCACTGGATACAACTTAGGTTGCACGATGTGAACCACTGCATTCGGGACAAACTGGGCAAAAGATGCTATGCACCAGCGACGCCAGGCGACAAGCAGTCCGCACTTGACTTCCAAGAGAAGCGCGTCCCGAAAATAGCAGAACAACTTTAGAACTGCCGCTATATAGAACAACTTGAGAATAGTCCCGCACGAGATCTGCACGATCTCCCATGATGTCCAGGTCAGAGAGGGTTTGATCATCGACGTTTGATACAGTGTGATTTCAACAAATAAGGTAGCTGCGCGGGAATCCTCGAGATGAAGTGGAAGTTCTGACCCGGAGACTGTTGGTCTGGATCTCCTTGTAGACTAGTTACTGACTGTGACCGGCACTGCTAGAGATTGAGGAATAGCATAGTACGCTACGAATGAGCTCCTGTTATGAACATTAAAATCGATCGAGCGAGAAGATTTTATGCCAAGCACTCACTCGAACAAACGGTCTGCTACTCTGCAAATAGTGAGACCAGTGAGAACCCTAAGGCACTGAGTTGCTCGTACTGGGACCGAGCGTACCATCGATAGGGTACTGGGTCTACTCCCAGTTGTAAAACTGTGAGCATTGGCAGTCATTGGCTTCACAACATCAAAGCGCCTGTAAATATGTAGTTCGAGTAAAGCCAGGCTGAAAAACTCTGATTACTCAGTGAAAGAGGAGAATCATTATCTTTCTTCGTGGCAGTCGCTGGAGGTGAATATACCACTTATGTAAGCTTCTGGTAAGCGCCCACCGCCAAGTAAACATTCCACTTTCAAAGTTTCATCCACAAATCATCGCATTTATAAGTACATTGTAGGAAGCGAAAACTTTTCGAAGTCTGCAACGATTCAAGTGCTCGATTAACCACTCCAGATTTGAATGTATCAAATTCTGTTGCAGTCACAGTCAGTTTGTAATCTCGTTGTCTTGACGGACGAACTGATGAACATTTCTCATAAAGATGATCTTTGATTGATATTTTGAATCAGTCTGAATTTGATTCCTGTGGCATTTCGCTGGCACCCTCTGGCATCGCGCATATCTGCCTCGTTGTGAACCAATCAGATTGGGACCAGTCTATCGGAAACTTAAAAAGTTGTCATGGATACCCCGGACAGATGGAAAGCGTGGGGTATAAAAAACGGAAGGCGACATGTTTGTTCCCTAGGTTGTCTTCGTTCTCGTCCCCTCATCTCTCCTGTCTTTGATTGATTGTCTTTACGAGCAGTGTAAGTCGCATTGGTGCAAAAGAGTCCAAAGTACTGAGATACTCATCGATAGGCTCCTGGTCCTTCTTTACGCTACTTCTTGAACTCATCCATTTGATCCTCGTTATCCATACAAAATGCGTTTCTCTACTGCTGCTGCTGCCTTGTTCTCTGCTGTCGCCTCCGTCAAGGCCGCGAACTACAGCGTCATCGTTGGTTTCAACAACACTTTGGTATTTAACCCAAACAAGTATGTCAATTGCGATTTTTCTAGTCTATAATCTCTAATGCACCACCTATAGTTTGACCGGTGTTGTCAACGGAGATAGTGTCTCGTTCCAATTGTGAGCTACTTGTATCGTTCCCGCCTTGAAATAATGTTGAATATGCCTGCTACTGCTAGTGCTTCCAAGAACCATGTGAGTACACCAGAACATAGATGGATTTTTTTCACTCAATGACGCTTGATAGTCTGTTGTTCAATCCACATTCGCCGCACCTTGTACCGCAGCTGGTGTTAGCTCTGGGTTTCAGAATGTTTCGGACCCGAATGGCCAGACCTTCCCTACCTGGTCCGTATGCAATTTGTACTTGTGTAGTTCGAAAGCACAGCCTAATCAATCTTTTGCAGGACTTTGACAGGTGATATAAATGTCTCTTTGGAACACATGAACGTAACTGAAACTCGCCTTTCCCTCCCTAGTTGAAAATGCAACAGGTAGGATATATACCTTTGTGTTTCTTCAAACAGTCAGGCTAATCTCCTTAAAGCACCTTTGTGGTTTTTCTGCTCTCAGGTCCTTCCTACGACCACACACTGTCAATCAGGCATGGTATTTGCAATCAACCCCACCGGTGAGTCAGACTTGAGGTGAAACGATGACTTCAAATTTGACGCTTCATCTACAGCGGAGAAGAGTTTCGCTGCCTTCCAGGTTAGTTCCGTTTGTACGCCTTACCGGAAACTTTTCTCACTTTCTGGAAAAAAAATAGCAAGCTGCGATTGCCACCAACGCCACCTCTCCCACTGGTCAAAACCCTTCTGGAAGCATAGTTTCTGGTACCGCAGGTGCTACCGACGCAGCGCTATCAGTTAGTGCAGCACCTTCTGCGACAGCTGCAGGCAGCTCTGCGGCTCCTGCCAGTTCGTCTGCTGTTGCTGCTGCTAATAGTGCATCACATTTGATGTCCGGAAACTCAATCAGCATCCTCGCCGTTGCTGGTCTCGTTGCTGGCTTAGTTTTGTAGGCGAATGCCCTTTCTCAGCTACGTCAAACATGCATTTTTTCCCTATCCCGACATGGTCTCATAGAGCAAGTGGACTTTTTCAACTGCAACTTTAGTGTAGCTATTGAGGGTAGTACTCTGGTTAGTGTAAACTTCTGCAACGCTGTACTGTGTACCGTTGTGACAATTAATGACTGGATACCCCAATGTTACAAATGAGTCTGAATCGAGTTGTCGTTCAACGTTCAACTTGAACCAGTCAGGTCGGAGTCAAATATTTCCTACTTCAAAGTCGGGCCGGCTTTGTACTGCACTTCATCAGACCAAGTAATATTGAGGCCTCTTTAGGACTCTAACCAAACTTGGCTCTAACTTCCTCAAGACACTGTGTGTAAATGGACGCGATCCGAGTATCCAAGGCTGGTATAACATCGTTCGCGCCAAAAGTGATCTGACTGCGCACAATAGGTCGAACATGTCCTATGCACAAAGGGCGGCACAACATTTTCTGGGACGATACATTTGACGGCTCATCATCTCATTTTTCAATATGAAGGGGGTAAAGAGAAGGAGATGTGGGTGAGTATCTAGTAATCTGTTCAGAATTCGTCGCTGAACTTCCTATGTTAAGATTCCGTATCCTCTAATCTCGCTTGTAACACGACTACCACAAACACTCCAGGGACAATGTCCTGTAACTTTCCACTGTCGGAATTTTGAGACGCTTTCGTTTGAGTTTTCAGCTGAATCAGATGCTGCGGATGTTTTCGATAGCGTGAAGGAGCTCACTGTTGCTCGTACGTGTCTTCCATTGTCTGAGTTTTCTGGCTTTACATGTACCTCTTACAGCCTCTGTTTACCACCTATACGCCTTTTTTTATTCGCCAAATCCTCCCTTTCCAACCCAAAATGGTTGGTCAATATATTCTCCGAGGGAGGAATTTGGTCGGATGGGTGTTGGTACTCGAACCAAAGCGTGGCGTTTCACAGATATCAATAAGGATTATTCTGTGGGTTGCCTTGCCAAACTATTACATCCTCTTATCGATGGCTCTCAGGGCCTTTAGTTTTGTCCTACATATCCTGCAAAGCTGCTTGTACCGACAAAGATTAGCGATACAACATTACAGTACGCAGGCAAGTACCGCAGCAAGTGTCGAATCCCGGTATTGTGTTATCTGCATTGGTCAAGCTATGTATGCTTCGATTTCGTTCTATCTGAATGTTGTATGTATTTAACATATCATTTTAGGCAACTATTACGAGGTCCAGCCAACCTATGGTTGGAATTACACAAAATAGATCGATTCAAGACGAAAAACTTATTGAAACCATGTTTCAATCACACTTTTCGCCAGAATCCAGAGTCTCCAATGCGGTAGTTTATGGCGCCACCACGACCAATCTTGTGATCGACGCCAGGCCTACCACCAATGCGATGGCCAACACTGCAAAGGGGGCTGGGACAGAGAACATGGATCACTACAAGGAAGCTAAAAAGGTTTATCTAGGCATTGACCATATCCATACCATGCGAGAGTCGCTGGGAAAGGTCGTGGATGCACTACGGGAAGCAGACGCGCTTCTTGCCAGTATAAACAATGATCTGTCCGGTCAGATCTCTGGAGTTTCTGTTCTTGATCGAGGAGCACTTCGCCGCTCAGGGTGGCTGCGGCATATCTCCCTTATCTTGGAGGGAACCATCCTCATAACGCGTAACGTGCATGTCAATTCGTCGCACGTCCTCATACACTGCTCGGATGGTTGGGATCGTACATCGCAGCTATCATCACTATCGCAACTCTGCCTTGATCCCTTTTATCGGACGATCAAAGGCTTCGAGATTCTCATTGAGAAGGAATGGTCATCCTATGGTCACAAATTTCTCGACCGATGTGGACACTTATCGTCCGACAAATTTTTTGTGTCCAACACAGAAACAAATGGTAACAGTGGAGGTGCGGACGCTGCGCAGGCTTTCCTTGCCTCAATGCAGAACCGATTTGCAAGTCAAAACCATGTTAAAGAAACTTCCCCAGTCTTCCATCAATTTCTCGAAACTGTTCGACAAATTCAAAGACAGTTCCCCCAGCGCTTTGAGTTCAATGAACGGTTTTTGCATCAACTATACTACCATCTCTATTCGTGTCAGTTTGGTACTTTCCTGTTCAATAGTGAGCGGGAGCGAAGACTGGGAGATGGGAACGGACCTCCTCCTTGTGACAGAACAGTCAGTGTATGGGACTTCTTCAATTCACCGTCGGAGATGGAGCAAAACCTGAATGAACTGTATGATTCATCACTGGACGATCCCGTGAGTCGAATTCCGGGCGCAGACATGGGAGTGCTATTTCCAAATCCAAAAGATGTCCGCTTTTGGCATGAACTGTATGGCCGGACGGACGAAGAAATGAATGGGCGTCATATACCAGTCATCGTCCGTCCAGAAGTCGTTGGTCCAGTCGAGACGGTCGAGGATGATCCCGTCAATCGTATCGCTACACCATCCAATATACCTTTGCCACCTTCCCCTTCCAAAACGCCCTTGCCCCCTCCAACCCAAACTCTTCCACGTAATGTGGCTAATTCGCTGCTTGAATCCAACGATTCATCCCCGTCCACTCCAGAACTAGCATCACTCAATCTAGGATCTCCCTCTGTTGTCGAGAGCTTCAGACCTTTCTTGTCAACGTCCTCTAATTTCTCAATGAAGCCTACATCCTCCCCTACTTCAGACTCATCCTCGCGTCCTTTAACAAAAGCACAGGAGTTTTTTGCTGGAGGCGGTGTCAAATCTGTTTGGGGCAAACTGTCTTCTAATGCCTCTGCTGCATTTTCGGTAGTCCAAGGGGCTTATGATGGTGTCGCAAGAGATTTGAGTACGAGACCTGGTCCAGCTTCGCCTTTGCCAAGTAGAACAGAAGAGCTTAGTGCTCGCTCTCATTTGACGAGTTGGGGAGAGGAAGCGCACACAGTATCAGTCTTCTCTCCTTCCACATTGTCCTCTTCGAGCCCTCCTGGCGTCAGAAATCCCTGGGCCACTGTCAACTCGAGCAAGCCTTCAGCATCGTCTTTGTTTTCACCATATGACAATCCTTGGAATTCCGCACAAGCTCAGGATTTAGGCTCGGAGGACGAACCTAAGCCTCCCAGTCCTCTTCCGATTGACCCTACCGTCTCCGATCCAAGTTTGCGGGCTCCCGCGAATTCGATCGCACGCTCTAATTCGTCTTCCTCACGACTTGCGGGAAACTTCACGGGCATAGGGTCTGACGGTGATAGCGAACTATCAACACCGTCTCAAGATCTTTCTTCAGCGTCGACCGATCCTCTTGGTGTTGGACTTGCATAATATCCACATATTGTATAATGGACTCCTGTTTGCTAACCAAGTACGGTAGATATGGGGCTTGCACTCACGCTTTTGTAGTTGACTAGATGCCTAAGCTTTGACAAATTTTCATATATCTGTATCCTATCGCAGTCCCCGTTTTCGAAAAGGGATGTAGATTGTGGTGGAAATCTCGTTAATAAATCACGCCATAATTTTGTTACATAAGGCCTGCGAACATAAAAGCGTATGAACGGAGGCTTGCCCACACAATCTTTCCTTCTTTCCCAGTCCCAGTTCATCCTTCTTTCTCCTTCTTCCGACTTCAAAATGGTTGCTAATGGTCGTGTTCACTCTGCTCTTACCCCGGGACACTTTTTGTTCACCTCAGAGTCTGTTGGCGAAGGTCATCCTGGTGCGTATGGAAAATTTACGGCGCAGTAGATTGTATCAGCTTATCTTCACATGGCGGTCAGATAAAATCTGTGACCAAGTTTCCGATGCCATTGTAAGTACTTTGTGTACAAAACACATGAGTAGATCATTAAACCTAATTTCGATCTAGCTCGATGCTTGCTTGGAACAGGATCCATGGTCCAAAGTCGGCTGTGAAACCGCTTCCAAGACAGGAATGATTATGGTTTTTGGAGAAATCACTACCCAGGCCAAACTTGACTACCAGAAGATTATCCGTGAGACTATCAAGAATATTGGGTACGACGACTCTGCGAAGGGTTTCGACTATAAAACTTGCAACATTCTTGTTGCAATTGAGCAGCAGTCACCCGATATTGCCCAGGGTCTCGATCATGGCTCCCTCGAAAGCCATGGTGCTGGTGATCAAGGAATCATGTTTGGCTACGCTACCGATGAGACTGAAGAGTACATGCCTCTCACCGTTGTGCTTTCCCACAAGCTCAACCGTGCTTTGGCTGATGCTCGTCGTACCGGTCTCCTTCCATGGGTTCTTCCTGACACCAAGACTCAGGTCACGATCGAGTACAAGAAGGATGGCGGCGCCACGATCCCTGTTCGTGTGGACACTGTTGTCATCTCTACTCAGCACACCGAGGACGTCTCTCTTGAAGTTTTGAGGAAGGAGGTTCTCGAGAAAATTGTCAAGGCCACTATACCCGCTAACTTACTTGATGAGCGAACTGTCTACCACGTACGTATTTTCACGGTCTTGAAATTAATCAAAGCTGATTAATTTCAGATTAACCCCACCGGTCGTTTCGTAATTGGTGGACCTCAAGGTGACGCCGGTCTGACTGGTCGTAAGATCATCGTCGACTCATACGGTGGATGGGGTGCTCACGGTGGAGGTGCCTTTTCTGGCAAGGATTGGTCCAAGGTCGATCGCTCTGCTGCATACACTGCACGTTGGATTGGTGAGCATATTCCTCTGTTCTCATACTACATAACCTTACTGAGACCCTATCAGCCAAATCTCTCGTCGCTGGTCAGCTTGCCCGTCGCTGTCTCGTACAAGTTTCCTACGCCATCGGTGTTGCTGAGCCGCTCTCCATCTACGTTGACACCTATGGAACTGGGAAGAAATCCGACGAGGAGCTCGTCGAAGTCATCCGCAACAACTGGGATTTGCGCCCTGGTGTAATGGTTCGTGAGTTGGACCTCCAGCGACCAAACTACAAGAAGACTGCTTGCTATGGTCATTTTGGTATGTTGGACTTTGCTGTTGGACCAATTGATACAGGTGCTAAGACTGGTCTTAGGTAACCCCGACTTCTCCTGGGAGAAGGTCAAGAACCTCAAACTATAAATTACGAATTGCGTTCACGTCTGCTCTCTTATCATCTGTATCACAATTACTCGCATCATCTCGCATTGGAAGTTCATCCTTCCGCCATTCACTATCATTGCACTGTCTCTTTAGGTTCCCTTTTCTTGTGCTAACATTACATTCCCAACCTATATCCCACAAAAGGTTTTTCGTAAATAGATGATGTTTAACGTCGTATAATTACTGTAGTCTGAATACACTGCGTTCAACCGCGTACTTGTGATAACGTTTGGGCATTTTTCATAACTTTTAGCCTGGATTCTCAGGCCTCAGGAGTCTGTTCGCACGCTGAAGTGAACACGAACAAGTATAGTTGCAGTAGTCTCATCTGAGTGTACCGAATGCCAATCTGGGACGATCCTTGGTCTACTCCATAACTATGTAATATTTGGGGGCTGGATATATGATGTGGAATTGCTATGCACACTGGAAAGTCTTCCTCTTTCATTCCAAGTCGTTCAGACAATTTAACATACGTGCTCAAGTGGCTTCGTGTCATCTACCAGCGGTCCAAGATCGACGCCGATGGTCCTATCAAATACTTCCATCATGAACGAGAACAATGACCTAGTGAGTGCAGCATCCCAACGTCCTTTGGAGCTCTCGTCGCGGATGAACGCATGTTGGGCTTGAACTTCGAGGAACTGAGGAAGTCGTGAACGGATTGATCAAGTGCGATTGAAGTCTAAGTATCTGGTCTAACTTACCGAAACAGTGACATTCGCGTCGTCCAATGTGGTACGGATAAGATCACGCCCCGCACGAGGAACGTGTGTGTCCTGTCGCGATAGAGATGTACAGGGGATACATGAGATATCTAGTACACAGCTAGGATCAATCGCCTACCTGCTTTCCGAATATCATCTGTCGACCAAAAAAAGACACAGCAGAAGAGCAATTGTGAGCAACAAGTGACGGAAATAGACGTGATTCGTGATGTAGGACAATGGTGAATACATACCACCAACTCGCCCTTCCCTGTGAGACCCCCATTCCGTACTCTTATTAGAGTATCATCGCTTTTGCCTTTACCCAAAGTCGCAGAGTGAACATCCGTGGCAAAGAAACACACCGAAGCGAGAACTCGTTGATCGAATGCTGCCTGTACGTATTTTAAGATTAAGTCCCAAGTCGGAAAGTTTTAGTATTTTGGATGAATCTTGAAGGCTTACCCTGAATGCCTACGAGGGACAAATTATTCAATGAGTAAAATATGAGAGATGTGAAAAGATAAAGACCTACCAAGTGCCCTCCGAGGCACATACCAGTAGCTCCGATACGTCCGTTGCAGTTTGGTAGTGTGGATAAAAGGTCGATGCTCAGTTTTGCGTCCTATCGCTTGTTCAATGATAATGGAAAAAGCTTCATTATAAGGAAGAGCAACGAACCTCATCAAATGCAGCGACCGTTTTCTCGATCTTTCACGATGAGAATATTCAGCCATTATTTAAGAGTGCTACAAGGTCGATCCACCTTGTATTTGTTACCTCTGTCGGTTCCTGTAAGCCGCCGATTTGAGAAGAGCATAGACGCGAAAATGTATGCATTGACCTTCTACATCGTAGGGGATCGCCTCCGGACCTTCGAATTCATGGTAAATCGAAGGACAAGCTGTTGCATGGTAGCATGAGAGAATTCAGCCATCAAGATTGAAAGACTCATTCACGGATACGAACCGACCACGAATCCTTGACTCGCGATTTGACTCGCGAAACGTTCAACAGGACCGGTGACTTGATAGATCTCACTATGCCAATGCCAAATGTCAACAATTGCAGGAAGCGAGTATGTGGTACCGTAGGCGGATGGAAAGCATATTACCTGAAGACAACGACACCTAGAATGACAGTGTTCAAAGTTCCAGTCAGCAAACAAGTTGGATCAAGTTGAAAAGGATAATGATCATAACATCGGAGACATCGAGCTTGATCGATAGTCAAGACTGTTTAATTTACCAGGAAATTTGGCTTGAGGGTATTTAGGAATAGAAGGGGAGATTACAAAAATTCTCAAAGCTCTTCCTCCAGAGTCAAGTTGAGTTTGGATATCATGAAAAGTCTTTGTTACAAGCATGATAGAACTGGCGGATTTTGTGAAAATGGTCCGACGGAGGAACACTTATAGGATGTGTTTTTCAAAACCGGCAGGCACGATATGCCGATCCCGGCCCGAAATGAACCGAAATTTGGAAAATCATTTACTTTGCTATCGTGCCCGCAACACGTCGCTCACGATACTCAGCTTCTGGAGAGCGCTTAATCATCCTACGCTATGGACTCTTCAGCTTTCTCAGACCTGGAGGTCATGACGGAAAGCACCATGAAATGGCTGTCCAATTTTGCGCTTGACCTCGGTCTGACACGGTTTCCCGAACATCTACACACCTTCTTATCCTCGTTATTCTTCTTCCTCGCGATACACCAAGCGTTCGCACCACTTATGAGTACATGGCTGTCGTGCAGTTTTCGCAAGATGAATAGACGGGCGAGGAACAACTGGTGAGTATATGAAGTTGCAGAATGCGAACTTTACCAGGCCTTCATCATTCAGTTACGGTTTAACCGGGCTACGTTCTGCGCAACTATCACAACAGTCTAGCTGTCTGGTCTCAACTGAGATCCTAATCACCTCCAACGTTCTTCCACAGGTCAATTCATGTCGTTTCGCAAGTTCATGCTTTAATAATCGTACCACTATCTCTGCGCGCCTTGAACTCTCCGGCATTGGACAAAGACAGAGTCTCTGGATGGGATGATGACAAATCTGGCTTGTTGCAAGCAATTGCTAGCGCGTGAGTGTCCTCAAAATTGTTCACATTGATTAAAGACCCCTATTGAACGTTGAACCATTAAATATTGCAGTTACTTCGTTTGGGATACCATAGATGCTATTATAAACTATACCGACTTTGGGTTCATTGTACACGGTACGTGCTATGTGTGTAGTTGAGCTTCTCGTCGCTGCGCTGACAAGTCATGTTTTGGTACGGACAGGATTGGCATGCTCCCTTATTTATCTACTATCGTTCGTAAGTCTATCACTTGAAGTTTCGACCCACCATTATTAAAATTGGTCCTTTTCATAGAAACCTTTCCTGTCCTACTATGCTGCAAGATGTTTACTTTGGGAATCGTACGTGTTTGTATTCGAAATCTTAGTCATGTTCTAATTCTACTTCTATCTACAGCAGCACTATCTTCTTGAACATCCATTGGTTCCTGGATAAAACCGACCGCACTGGAAGTACTTTCCAGCTAATCAATGGAATCCTTCTTCTAGTAACGTTCTTTGGAATGCGTCTTGTCTATGGAGCTTACGTCGTCAGTGTTTCTCTTGTTTTGGTCTGTATTTTCGCTGGTATATTCTTCTCTGACTTGTGCTCTGTTTGCCCTTTTTCAGTCTTACAACTTTTTCTTCACCTTGTATGACGTGCGGGACAAGGTCTCTCCGGTATATCTACTCATATACGGTGTGGGAAACATTGTTTTACAAGGTCTGAATGTATACTGGTGGGTGGTATGACAACTTGAATCCCTTTAACATAGAATCTCATCACCATGATAGGTTTATGAAAATGATCAGCGCTCTGCAGAAGCGATTCTCGCCGAATTCGTCAGTAGACCGCAAGGCTACCCAAGTCAACAGGAAACTAGATGCAAAGAAAGAATAAAAGCTGGTGTCTGAGATAGAGTTTATTTCTGGCTTCATTAGCTATGACTGTTGTTTGTATACTAATGTTATATCTATAGAAAGTCCTTTTCATGCCCTTTTGAACGCTGCTTTGACTGTACCACGTACGCGCCATTCCCAAGCTACAAGGTTCACCCTTCTGGTGACTTCGGTACGGACAAGTTCCGAGGACTGAAGTATACAATATAGATACGCAAAGATGAGTGCATCTAGAGGAGTAGGGTGCCTAGGCCATGCATTAATATGGTTGAGACCTCAGAGAGGGCAATACCGCTCACTCTGATCCCAAAAACCATTTATCTGTCCCCAGCTTTTCCGACAATGCCCTGATAGCATCTGCATACTTTTCAAAAACCGCTTTTCTAGTTGCGTGAGAGATCCTAGCGCTACCAGTAGTATTCGAAGTACTTCCGGAGGGACTAAAGAGCGTAAGAGAGTACGAAGGAATGAAAGAGAAAAAGCTAGTTTACGGAGGAGGCGGAGGAACGAGGATTGAATTGAGACTGGGACTGGCGGAAGGGAGGTGCTGAAGGTGCTAGTAGGGATTCAAGGAAGGATTGGGTGGGCTGGAAAGTATCTTCCAAGGAATTCTGAGATGATATCGAGGTAATAGATCCATTCCATACCAATGCTGCATGAACATTCCCTTCAAGCAAAGAAACCCGAGCCCTGCTCTCATCTTTAGTCGCTTCGTCCCTGTAACCCTCCCATGAATTGTCCAACGCGCTATGCGCAAGCTTCACATCGACCCATTCAACAATATGCGGAGCTGAAGGTAGCTCAGTGCTGTCATCTATCGGTCCAGTCGAAGTAGTCTTTTTCTTGTTTCTCTCTGCTGTCCACGAATATGTTGCAGACACGTGTACTTCTCTCGCTAACTTCGACCACTTGCAACTATCAGTATGAATCTTGTCACAATATAATGCTCAGCTCGCTAACTGTCTTTTGCCTTAGGTCTCGCAATGGGACCTAGAATGTGTTTCGGATTCTTAATTCCTAATGACCACATGCAGTCTGTTGGAAAGCTGAATTACGAAAAACTGTTTCCGGATGACGGACCTCCTGAAGACTATTGTGCGCGCGCTACGTATAAGGATGTCGCTACAGCACATTTCATGGCCAAGGCCAAGGAACTACCTTGGGCAACTCCAAGAATGGCCCATGTTTACGCTACCAGTGAAGGCCACATTGGACAAGTTGTGTCACTATTTGATAACTTTACGCATTATTTGGGACAACTGGGTACCCCGAGGCGTCCTGGACCCAAACAGCTTACACCAGAAATTATCGAGCAGTACCAAAAGGCAATTGGACTTGACATATCCCCGCGCTGGTACTATATGTATGATCAGGCATGAGCGCATTCAGATATATGGCTATATTATCAGTGATCAGAATGTTTACGCGCAGGGTTTAGGATATTTTTTGAATCGTGTTTACCATGATATATATACCTGACCTGTACAACAATCATGTCCTTGACTCTTGCAAATACTCTTACCAACAAGATTCTACTCACTGTTTATACGTCCCCGAAATCTTATTCGACACCATACTGTGGCATAGTTACTCTGATTTTTGGTTTCTACATTCGGAGTCATTGGTGCGCCTAAAATTAGAAGCCGACTTCGACTTCCAGATCTAGCGACCGTTTTCTCTTGGATGAACCACTCTGAGGGACGGGAATTAAAACGCTGTCCGGGAATCAAGTATTGCAACACAGTGCATTAGCAAGGGCCAGGCAATCGCAGATTGGCATTGGTGGTCGCTCGCTAGGTCGTGTTCGCGCTGCTTGAAGGGCTTTGAGACATTCTGTGGTAATGGCGCGTGAAAGCGACCATTGAGAACTACAGGATGTCATGACCACTGTTGACACAGAATTTGAGGATGGTCAGGAACAGTCGAAAGTTTAAGGAAGATACGTTGTCGGATACACTACATGTGGATCGATTGTCTGTTATTGATGTTTTCGTGTTACTTGTAGGTACAGTACACTCCCCGAAAGCCGTGTGTACGATTTCTTGAGAAAGGTTTGATGGGATGGAAGACGCTTGCATTTTCTGTTGTGGATACTGTGAGACCTGTTATATGAGCTATGGCATGAGCAGTTAAATGATGAGCATGTCTGCCATTTACTGATCTATGCCTCGGATTGGCTGCGGTGTATGTCCTTCCCATAAGACTTTCCAGTCAAGGGAGTTCAATTTTGTATCTGCTTGCCAGAATATTAATGCATTTCGTACAGATTGAAGAAAACCAGTGCCCACTGAAAGAACTCGCCGAATTCTTCAGTAGACCGCCAAGCTTCGTAAGGTAGGAAATTATATGCGAGGAAAGAGCAAAGGCCTGCGAATAGTATCTGAGACTGCATACTGTAGAGTTTGTTGACACCATTAGCAACTCTTGTTTGTATACTAATATATCTATAGAAAGTCCTTTTCATGCCCTTTTGAACGCTGCTTTGACTGTACCACGTACGCGCCATTCCCAAGCTACAAGGTTCACCCTTCTGGTGACTTCTGTACGAACAAGTTCCGAGGACTGAAGTATACAATATAGATACGCAAAGATGAGTGCATCTAGAGGAGTAGGGTGCCTAGGCCATGCATTAATATGGTTGAGACCTCAGAGAGGGCAATACCGCTCACTCTGATCCCAAAAACCATTTATCTGTCCCCAGCTTTTCCGACAACGCCTTGATAGCATCCGCATACTTTTCAAAAACCGCTTTTCTAGTTGCGGGAGAGATCCTAACGCTACCAGTAGTATTCGAAGTACTTCCGAAGGGACTAAAGAGCGTAAGAGAGTACGAAGGAATGAAAGAGAAAAGGCCAGTTAATGGAGGAGGCGGAGGAACGAGGATTGAATCGAGACTGGGACTGGCGGGAGGGGGAGCTGGAGGTGCTAGTAGAGATTCAAGGAAGGATTGGGTGGGCTGGGATAAGATCTTCCAAGGAATTTAGAGATGGTATTGAGGTAGAAGATACATTCCATACCAACGCTGCATGAACATTCCCTTCAAGCAAAGAAACCCAAGCCCTGCTCTCATCTTTAGTTGCTTCGTCCCTGTAACCCTCCCATGAATCGTCCATCGCGCTATGCGCAAGCTTCACGTCGACCCATTCAACAATATGCGGAGCCGAAAGTAGCTCAGTACTGTCATCTATCGGTCCAGTTGAGATAGCCTTCTTCTTGTTACTCTCTGCTGTCCACGAATACGTCGTAGACGCGTCGAAGGGAACGTGTAGGTTTGGCAACCGACCATCGATAGCTCCTTGTGCGTCGACGTCGAAACGAACTCGGATATTGCTGAGGCCTCTAAGCGCGAGGTAGGCTTGCCATTTGAGGCATTCGACGTCTGAGCTGAGTACTGCGTCCGCAGATGTGTGGTGCTTTGATGGATGAACCCATATCGTAGGACATTCTAAGACTTGGTTTCCTTTTGCATTGAGAGGAGGATAAGAATAGAGAGGAAAATAGGAAAAGAGAGATTTGAGAGGACCGGGAACTTGCATGCAAGAAAGGGAAATGGATTTTGTTGACACTTCGGCAATTCCGTCCTTTACTCAGAACCACCATGGACTCTGATCCTACACCAATCTCAGAGCCAAAGCTGCCAGTGTCAATGTCCTCACAAACCCTCATTCTCGCTTCATTATTCGTTGCAATAATTTCAATCGCCAGTATGTCTCTCTTCAAGGTTCATACCTGGTAGCGCCTCACAAATGAAATCCAGTCTTCATTTTCGTTTCCCGAAGGAAAAGCCGAGCCAAGCGCGACCTTGTGGTGCTCATAGGGCCTTCAAATTCAGGAAAAACAGCTATATTCTCTTCTGTAAGTGATAATAATAACAATTCAGGGCTCTCGAGTGCTCGAGCAGCAGATTTACTGCGGGTCCTGTCTAGCTGGTATATGGTCACGCAGTTCCAACAATTTCTTCAATGCAAGCCAGCTCATCTTTCCTTGATTTACCGGGGAAAAGAGATCCCATCCAAATCGTCGACGTCCCCGGTCATCCTAGGCTTCGAGATCAATTCAAGGATTTCCTATCTTCCGCTAAAGCCCTGGCTTTTGTCGTAGATGCAAATACAGCGTCTCGTAACACCGCGGTCGTTGCGGAGTGCGTATATATACCTTGTCATTCCGCTCCAATTTTCATTCATTCGTCATTAGACATCTACATACAGTACTCGACGCAATCATGGCAATACCGCCATCACAACCTCTTCCTACCCTCCTCATCCTTGCGCACAAATGTGACCTCATCAAAACTTCCTCTTTATCTGCTGATACATCAGCACTCGCCGTTACGCGTGTCCAGACCATCCTCGAGCGTGAGTTGGAAAGGAGAAAATTGTCACAGTCTGGCGGGATGGGTGTGGAAGCCCTTGGCGATGAGAATAATAACGAAAAGTCAAATATGGGTGGGTTGGACTGTCGTGGACCTGGGGGAACATTCAAATTTGAGAATTGGGAAGGTGGAGAGGTGGTTTTTCTTGGGACTTCCGTCCAGAGTTCACGGTCAGATGAAAAGTCTGTCAAGGGAAGTATTGCGCCTTTATTGGATTGGATTGAAGAGAATATGTAGAAACTTCATGTATACATCCTTCTTAATCGTGTGTCCTGTTCACTGCACTGCAACAGATCTATCCGCTGATTGGAATCGTATTTGATATTATTCCCGTTGGCCAACCCTGGCCAACCTCTATCGTTTCGGACACTCAAGCAAAACTCTTTGGCTCAGTATGGCAATACTGAGCGAGCCTGCTCTCTTAAACAATTGCACTCTTGAAGAATGAAATATCTATTCTCATCATCGTAGTGACTAGACTTGAAATAGTCACTGCTGCTGAGACGATGTGCGGAATCGCACACCTTCGAGCGCCAGTTTTCAAAGTGTCACATCCGAAGCTTCGAGTCTAAGAGCTAAGTGACCTTCCATAGCTTCACTACAGTAGCATGCAAGGACTTCGCAACAATGTCTCAATGCCATATTATTTGAAATATTCTTGTCCGGACGTTGGTAAAGATCACATAATTTACCAATTTACTCTTGTAAGAGCTTGTAAGTCCTCTATGAAAATCAATGCGTTTACAATTTGAGCAGTCTAAATCAGCACCTTTTTCATTGAACAGTCAAGGTATGCTGATATTTAACATCCGAACACCTTGACCCTGTTTGCCGAACCTTTAGGTAAGGCTCCTTACAAAAATGTATTGTATGATTCGTAGGGGGGATGCTACACTGCTGGACAGAATTCGACGATTTTCTTATGGATGCGCCCTCTCAAGAATTTTGAATAAATTCTTAAGAAATTCCTGAGATAGAGGAGCGCCCAAACGTGTAGAAATTCTCAAAAGTAACAATTCTCAAGAATCATGAAGAGACTCTTAAGAATATCTTCTAATTTTTGAATATACCTCGCGCGCGCATGTCACGGAATCCCGGAACCCGGTATAATAATGATATCAGAATTATCAGACCACTTTTATTTTCGGAAAATTTTGCTCGTAAAATGTACCTACAGTACTACATGCCATGTTTACTACATAGTGTTATTAGGAGTATAGTCAAATTATTACAAATCTTAATGGGCAAGATCTTGACTCTTGAACTGAGTTGAATATTGACTCTTGAAGTTTGAGGCTCGGGGGCAAAGGTTGAGGCAGCTTTGAATTTGACGACATTGAGTCCAAGTCACTTGTTGGTGAATCAGAAAATATTGGCACCACTTGTGTGTGTGTGATCAAGGCCTGTTGCAGCATGTTGTCATCAAGAGCTTGAAAGATGTTGAGGACTGAAAGTGTGCACGTTCGCTCAAAGTCAAGCTGGTGGAAGTTGGGAAGGAAGGAAGACCAGCACAAAACTGCCAGCGCAAGGTTGTGTAATCACCGTCAGCTGACAAGAAATGCGACTTGGGACATTTCATGAGAGTGGCTAGTCAATATTCCTAAGAGTTTTGGGTTTTGTCATGATGTCTCTCAATAATTTCTCAAGAATCAAGGATAGTATATAATTTTTGGCAATATTCTCAAGATTTGCACTCTTATAGATTTTGAAAACTTGATTCTGACGAATTGCTCAAAGTTTGGTGCAGCAGTGTAGGGGAAGTTGGACTTGTCCATTTCCCACGGGTCATGTGGTATTATGTATAATGAAGTCAGTGCAGATGCTCGGATCTTGACATTAGATCCGAAATGGAGTCACATTGACTAAATTGATTGTAAGTTACATTCAGTCAAATTGACTCATGTATTTCAATATAAATAAAGCTGTTGCGTTGTTTTCTTTCCCCCCATTCTTTCCCCCCACCTCATATGTCTAAGTCAAATCCTTTTACTGCTTCCTCAGCATATCAAGCAATGCCCTTCAATGGGATTGCATCACCCGTTGTCGGGATCAATGAACCTGTTAATGATAATGATAATACTCTAAATGCTTCTGTGTTGCCATCTATATCTTTGTCACATTCAGCTTCCTCTTCATACAATGCATCTAATTTTGCATGTCTTACTGTTGCTCAAAAACAGTTGGTTTTCCATGCCCTGATTCAGTCATCCTCAATTCTTTGTAATGATCTGCGCAAAATGGCATCTTTACACCTAAATTTGAGTACACGCAATACTTACAATCAACATAAAAATAAAAGTGATTTGCTAACTGACTATGCTCAACATCAATGTTCTAATTATTGTCTGATCTATCATGCCCAGATAGAGATTGTCAAGTTTTTTAGTGTTCCTAGCATTTCTCAGTTTGAATTTTTGGAGTGTGCCAAGGCCCTTGGACTTCGAAACTATAATCAGAAATCTTCCAATAAACGTAAATCTGAGCACATCTCCTCTTCACACAAAAGGAAGAAAGTTGCTCATAGTCCAACTCCAGTTCTCAATAGTACAAATTCAGATCCTGTTATTGACAGTGAAATCTGGCCTGAAATTTTAACTTTGGATGAAAAATTGGCCATTTTGCAAGAATCATATGATGCTGGCTGTAATACCTCTATCAAAAAGGTTGAATGTTCATTTTGTGGAACTCTTGAGACTGTAGACAAAATTTGTTCCATTCTTTGCACAGATTTGGATATTTCTTTACTGAATACAGCTGTGCAGGAGCTTCGTTCAAAGACAAAACAAGCTAAAATCAAAGCTTTTCAACAGCACACAATTAGTAATGGCTGCTACCAGCTCTGTATACAATGTAAACGTGAAGTGAGATTCAAAACATCTACTGACAATACCTCAGTACGTGATAAATCACAGCGTACTTTTGTCCAATTGCCACTGCGTAGTTATGCAAATGGAACTTGGACTGGTGATCTTCCAGATGCATTAAATGGTCTAACATTTCTTGAAGAACAATGCATTGCACGGGCTCGAGCTACTAAATGTATGTTCAAACTAGAGCTTGGCCCATCAGGACAGTATGCTTCTCGGGGAAATGTATGTATTTTTCCACAAGATCCAGGTCCTTTGGCAACCTGCCTCCCTCCTCCATTATTACAAATTCATGATGAAATTTGTGTTATTTTGGTAGGGTCTCCTGATGCAGAGATTACAATTGAAACTCTCATGCAAACACCTCTTCTTGTTCGAAGATCAAGAATTATTGAGGCTCTTGAATGGCTTCAGATGAATAATCCATTGTATTATGATCTCAATCTTGATACAATGTATAACAATGCAAGCCAATACCCAGAAAATGGCATTCCAATTCCTTTGAAGAGTGTTATCCGAATATCCTCCAATTCTGAAGGCTCCTCATATACTGCACAAGCAAACTTTGAACAATTTAATGAAAATGTTTCATCCTCTGGTATGCTGTCTTCAACAGTTGTAGATGCTGACCATATTGATTCTACTTATCAGATGCGCAAGCTTAGTGCACTACAACATCTCAAGAGGGGCAATAAACCTTTCATCAAATTTCCATCTGGATCTACTCCTTTATCCACATATAAGAATCCAAAACTTTATGCATATTTGTGGCCAACACTTTTTCCTTATGGTGTTGGAATGATGGAAAACAATGATATACACTCCAACAGTTCTGTTGGATTCCGGCATATAGATATGCGGGCTCATACTGCATATCTGTTGCAGAGCAAACCAAATTCTCGATTTCAAACACATTTATCATTTATTTTTGTCATAGGAAATATTTTGCAACGTCGCCAAACTTCTTTCAATGCAAAATTGGCTGTAAAGCGAACTTGGTTTCCACATGTCGAAATGTTACTTTGCAAGCTATCCAACAACACAATCACTGAGTTTTCAGAGAAGTTAAAGAAAAATCCATTTGTACATCCAGAAACTGAGGGTGAGAAGGCTGCTAAGCAACTCATGAAATATATCAACTATATTGGTGAAAATATTCCAGGCTCAATGTCAGAAGTTCAGAACATGAGAGAGGAATTATTTTCAGTTGTTATTGCAGGACGTGATATTGATTTAAACCAGATATTTCATAACCTGAAGCCCCATACTGAGAATCTTGAACGTTCAACTTGCATTGCACAGAATCCCATTGCTGCTGCCCAATTTTTTGATATCTCAGTTAAAAATTTATTGCATATTCTACTAGGAACAAAACGTCAGAACAGAAAGGGTGTATTTGGTGAAGTTGCAGTATACTATGGTGTAGTGGAAGCACAAGGCCGTGGTTCATTACACATTCATCTGCTTATCTGGCTAGAGCATGGCTTATCCCCCAATGAAATCAAGTGCAAGTGCAAGTCTGATCCAAAATGGGCTCAATATCTTACTGATTGGTATGATGATGTATTTTCTCAAAATATTCCTACACAGACTCAAAAATATATCCAAGCAAAGGGAATGTATAAACGACAACCAGTAATGAGCCAGCCAATGAATCCTCAGATTCCTGAATATTGGAATTCCTTTAACCAAGATCTCCGGAATATACTTGAAAATGCTGGTATGATACATGAGCATACTGATACTTGCTTTAAACATTTGCCTATTAAGCTGAGATCCTTGCGAGATGATAATAAAGATTGTCGTTTTCAACTTCCTCGGGATATTGTAGAAAAAACCCACTTTGATGAAGATGGATACCTTGTTCTCAAATGTAATAATGGTAATGTAAATGGTCATAATCCAATTATAACAGTTGCTGAACGTTGCAATACTGATGCAAAGCCAATTGGATCGGGATCAGTGGCAATGGCCATGTTTCAATATTTTGGAAACTATACTATCAAAAATACTATGGATACAGCCTTTGTTTTTTCTGCTCTATGTGCAGCTATCAAATTGCTCACTGAAAACCCCCCTATGGATATTGATGGGAACTTAGATACATATGAGCATAGCCGTCAATTTCTTATTAAAACTGTTAACAAACTCATTGGTAAACGTGAGCTCAGTGGTCAGCAAATTGCCAGTAAATTAATTGGGACACCAAGCTGTTATACAAATTGTAGGTATCCAATATTTTATTGGTCAGGAATGCTTCGAGAAATTGCATCTGATATTTTTGATATTGCAAATTGGAACAATGATAATGAGTCTGATATGACAATCAATGACTCTGGTAATGAAGACCTGCATACATCACAGCAAAATCTCCAACAAAGGGAATTTGATGATTCATTTGTGTTTCTCACTGAAAAGACTGTGCAAAGTGGCAAATTTTCATTGAAGAATCATTCACACAATTCACTATTTAATGATATTTTTTTCCGACCTAAAATCCTTTCTAACATTTGTGCTTGGGATCTGATGTGTGGCTATTCAAAGGAGGAATTACCTGAATCAAAGAAACAAATCAAAACCTACCTACGATTTCAATCAGGACACCCACAGTACATAACTCATTGCTTCAAAAAAATGAATATAGGTGACGATCCACGGGTTCCAGTACTCAAAGGCTATCCAATTCCCCGGAGTGACAAGATTGAACATCATGAAAAATATATGATAGCTATGCTTGCACTATTTAAACCATGGTCTCACAATGAGCAAAGTCCATTAAAGACACCTGAGGAGACTTGGGATACTGCCTTCAATACTTGGAAGAATACAGACTTATTCAAAAGTCATATCAAGATCATTAACAATATGCAGTTACTGTATGAATCCAAAGATGCTAAGTTAGATTATTCTGCTCAAAGACAGAAAAGATTTGCAGAGCTTTCCCACAAAGTAACATCAGAAGAAGATGATGGTGAAAGTCATATATATGATCCTGAATGGGAGAATGCCATGCAAGCACAAGTACCAGTTACAATTGATAATGATATATTACAGGAAATAGATACTTGCAATGATATATCACAAGAAGCACTTGACATTATTGAAGCAACAGCCCAGAGAGGATTTTACAAGGGAGAGTTTGATTCATCTTCACAAAAGCAACTGCAAAACTCATATCTCAACTGTACACATGTTGCCACTTTGCTTGACAAAGAAGCAGCTGAAAATTCAATCAATAATATCATGAGAGAAAAAGAGTGTCTTATTAAAAGGCGCTTGGAAGATGCTATTAGGAAACCTAATTCCCAACTACATCATCGCTTACCAACTAGTCATATACCTTCTCCTTTTGCTACTGAGTTGAACAGGGAGATTGAACATGCTCAAGAGCTTTTTATGAAATTTCATCCAAATTCATCTGCATGGGATGAACTCAAATTTTACCAGCAGCTGGCAATTGCACTGATTCACAAATATAAACTGAATGATAAGCAAACTCTGGCTTTCTTATTACTAGCTGATGCTGTAGGGCAGCAGTCACTTATAGATAAGCCTTTAGATCCTTTGCGAATGCTAGTTACTGGTCCAGGTGGAACTGGAAAGTCCTGCATTTTTGCTGCATGGTCTGATTTTCATGAAGGAATTAATTGTAAGGATGAATTCCGGCTCACAGCTCCTACAGGTGTTGTGGCAAGTCAAATTGGTGGTTGCACAATACATTCAGAGGCTGCATTGCGGGTTGCTCGATCAACAATGAAGGCTGATACTGCAGGTGGACAAAAAATACGAAGTCAGTTAGAAAAGCAGTTTGCCCCTATACGTACATTGGTAGTGGATGAGATATACTTCATGAGTCCAGAGAATGTTAGCCTTCTTTCTGAATATTGTTCTATTGCAAAAGGCATAACTGAGCATCCATTTGGAAAACTAAACATTGTGACCTGTGGTGATCCAGCTCAACTACCACCACCAAGAGCAAAACCTTTGTTTGACCATGAACTTGTGAAATGCTATGAATCAACACGTCTGAATGCATTGAATAACAAAACACAGTATGAAGTTAAGGGAATACAAGCTTGGCATCAAATAGATAAAGTTGTTGTTCTCTCAGAAATAATGCGTCAAAAAGGAGATAATGTGTTAATTGCCATTCTCAGCCGATTACGCACTGGTACTTGTATCCAGGCAGATAAAGATATTCTGGATAAATATGTGCTGAGTAATGAAGCATGCTCTAATGAGACAAAGAGCCTCATTGACATCACACAATGGATAACAAATCCTGAAAATGCATGTCCTTTAATTACTTATACAAATGCAGCAAGAGATGCACACAATTTTGAGTCAGCAAAAGCATTTGCCAGAGTAACAGGTCAAGAATTCCATATTTGTCATTCAACTGACACACGTGGACGTGGCAAAAATAAAAAAGTCATCAAAGGTATTGCAGCTGAAGCTGCATGGAAAATTCCTGTGAAAGATGCTCAGGATCTGGGGGGTAAGGTACCATATATTCCAGGAATGCCAGTCTTTGCAACTGAAAATATTGCAACTGAACTAGGTTTGTCAAATGGTAGTCTAGGTACATTGGTTTCATTAACATATGAAATACATGATGATAGGTATTATGCAGTGTCAGCCACTGTAGATTTTCCTGGATACAAGAGCAATGATCCAGTGCACCCAAACCGTGTCATTCTGAAGCCAATCACTCAAAGTTTCAAATTTCATTTGCCAAATTCTGAGAAATTGTACTCAGCAACTCGAAAGCAGCTTCCTTTGATTCCTGCTTTTGCCTTTACATCACATAATGCCCAGGGCCGTTCAATGAATGTAGCCTGCATAGACTTTGCTAGTTGCCACTCAATCCAAAGTGCATATGTGATGCTTTCTCGTGTCCGTTCATTGAAAGGTCTCTGTATCTTACGGCCATTTAGTATCAACAAAATTAGAAATCACATTTCAGAAGAACTACGATCTGAGTTAAAGAGAACTGAGAACCTGGCTGCAAAAACAGCACAGGCTGCAGAAAATGACTTGTCATGGTATTACTCAAGGTTTCCAGCACAGGCTAAGTAGAGTGTCAACAGCTAATAACAGCTGTTGATAATTCTTATGTAGCTACTATTTTCATATTTCTTGAGTTTCATTTTTCATTAACCATCATTCCACTTCCTGTCCTAATGGCCAATGGTTGCCAAGGGCAAGTTTATCCCAGAACATGCCTCTGCCTGACATCTGGCTTGGTCACCCAGTTGTATTTGCTGAAGGGGGCAGCAAAAAGTGGGACAGGCATGCTTCTCATAGTGGATCAAACTCTGCACCGAATGCATCAGAAGCAAAAGGGACATTTTCACTTCTCTGGGAATCTTTGTTTTTACTTACTCTATGTTGTTTTCTTGTAATAGTAAGTTTGTAATTGAAAATGTTCGGCACCCGCCGCTTGCGGCCTTACCCCCCAGTCATATTTTTTTTAACCGATGTAGAGCTTTTTGTGATCACCTTGCTTGTCATGTCGGAATTTCAATAAATTACTCATAAGCGCTGGTTGTCCATGATAAGTGACATAATGGAAACGGCCATCATAAGGCGAGCTAATCAAACAGTCGTATGCCAGATATCAGCCCGGATCTGTAATGCCGAGCATCTTATTAGCGCTGAGAAAGGGCAGCGAGAGTTATAAGCGCACATAATGCATCCCCAAAATAATATACAAGAAAATGTATACACCTGTCTATTTGATATCTATTATCTATTGATGATTTGATGATTTTGCTCTGATATCTATTATCTATTGTTGATTTGATGATTTTGCTCCGTTGCAACCTATTACAAGTAGATAACGTGATCAATGAAGGTTTTAAGAGAAAAATGGTAACTTACTTACTGAGGGAATCGAACCGTAGACTACAAATTACAATGACCAAACACAGACAGAAATACCACTGCACCAAGCTACCTTATTTACAAGAAAGCCTTCATTGATTGAATCACATAATTTGGTGTATCAAGACCATCAAGATGCGACAAAACGAGTTATTTATTGAAAGGGCACATTTATCTACCTGTATTGTTCACTTCTTCCTGCTCCGAGTTTGTGCACTACGACTACCAACCTGATTGCGACGACCACGACCACGACCAAGACCACCCTGGGGAGCAGCTTCATTGGGATGTTCTTCAAGCATCTCAGCTTCAACAAGATTTATACCAGATTGTGAAGAAGATGTCGGACTGGTGCTCAAATTGAGATCTTGATTCATTACCTGTGTAGATCCATGAGAGGTCGTAGGTACCCCTGATACTACTACTGGCTCTGTTCAAACATATTGAATAATACGGAGATGAAACGATGCATACCAGTTGCAGCGCTAGTGGTGTTGAGTGTCACAGTCATCATTGCAGTATTTAGTTCATCCATGTAAGCGATCTCATTCACAACTGTAGGGTCAGTGGGGCCAGAAATGGGAAGTCCCTTGAAGACACGAGTTTGCCAAAAAATAATAAGACGTTTGTAATAGTCGGTCTTCCGTATTTCATTCTCGCGAAGATATTTCCGAATGTGATAGAAAATTTCACGGTAATTGGTTTGCGAAGTCTTCCCTTTCTCAACGAAGGTTTGATCTTCAGAAAAAAGATACCGGATCTGAGAACGTTCAAGTAGACATTCAAAAAAACTGTATAGGTTACTCACAAAGACTGCGATACATGCAATCATAGAATTGTTCAATGATTCTATACCCCATTTTCGGCCAAGTAGTTTGTCGCTGAAGGAGAATGATGATGCAGTTAAGGATTCCTTTCCAAATAGTATTGCACGGAGAACCTAAAGATTTATAATTCTAGCCAGATAAATCCCACTCAGAACTAACGTACCTTTGGTAAATATTCATTCATGAATAGGAAATTATTATCTTTTACAAGCCCAGGATAAAAGATTGGTAAAAAGATTCCGGGTGCTTCCTGTTCTGGGAAAAGCAGGAGGGATTGAACAAGTATTGACTCTTTGCGCTGAGTTGCTGCGTTAAGTGGCCAGAGCTCTCCTGGCAGATTGAGATCCGAGAAAATTACTGGAGCACAGGAACGGATGGTGTGAAGGGCTGTACTTGTTTCGCTCTGGACTTCATGTACAAACTAAACAAGGAATTAGCGGCGATGCATCAATTGGTAAGGCACATACTGCATCGCGGAAAGGTGCATAGCCTGATGCTTGCTCTTTCATCTCTGCTTCATTGCTTAAGTATGTATATAGCTCGGCTATCGAACCTGCCTTGTACTCGCTGAAGTTTGAGAAACGAGCATCTGACATCGATGTATAGATAGCATTTTGTGGAGCTGGCTTCATGAAAATACCGCTGTCAATGAATGGCTCAACTACAATTGCATACTTTTTGCCATAAAGAACAATCTTGTCATGGCTCAAAAGTGAATCTACTGCCTTTCTTGGCCGCCCCTTGGTTCCCGTTCGTTTGGCCAATTTGAGTTCTGATTCGAGGTCTGATATGCGCAGACGCAGTCGTTTATTTCGGTTCAATAACTCCTGTTGTTTTTCTTGACTGCTATTTAGAGCCTATAAGAGGATAAGTGGCATTATTAGCAGTGGGAGCGTTGGGATGGAAATGTTTACCTTTCGAAAGTCCTCAAGTGTCATTTGTGTAGATGGGAGAGGAATAGGTGTAAATTCTTCATCAGCTGAGATATCGGAAAATTCGCCTTCATTGTCTGTATCGTTTGGCATCAATGTTGTGGAAGAAAATGTGAAATGAATTGACGGATCCCAAACCTGCCTTATTATCACCGCACATGGCAAAACTATTTGTGATTCTAGAGATTTCTCACTTCGCTATGTAGTATTAAGGGCTTAACAGTAGCTTGAACAGGAATAAACATTGTGAGATATGGACAATATGTACTATTGATGCTGAAAGGAAAGTGTACAATGGTGCATGTTAGCTTGCAAAATATCAAGCTGACGTATACCCAGGGAAGGATGAGATTACTCGAAGAAACATATCATTATCCAAGACATCCCAAACAAATGCTTCCCGCTCTGATAGTTTGAGAACCACCACACCACGGATGATGGATCGCACAGAAATAAATTCTGTACCGTTGTCCTGCTGTAGGCGAAGGAGGCCATGATATTTGTCGGATCGAGGCCGTCGTGTTGTAGGGACAGCTTTATATGACTGTACAAGTGCAATAGGATATAGGTTATCACCAACGGTGCAGGTGAAAATGTAACGGAGTTGTGCAAAAATAGGTCCGTCTATGGAGTCAAAGATGACGAAGTCGTAGCGTGGTTCTTTGTTGAAGAAAGGATTACATCGAAGATAATCGACAGAAACCTTCCAAGTATCGAGTGAAAGATAGTTCACCTTCAGATACTGGTAGGGCGTGACCTATGAAACACAAAAGTTTAACATGGAATCGAAACAGAGTATTATGCACAAACCATATCATGTTTAGTATACTTGATGTCTTGATTTCCTGGAAGCTCAATGTCTGATGCACGAAGCAGTCCAGACATAAACTTCGACAATCGCCTAAAAAAGTGCTCAAAAAGTCGCTCAGATTCTTCGAGGATACCCATAGTAACCGCAGGAAGCCTTGATCCAATCTCGAAGTGTGAGTTCCTGGTAGGTTTCTCGGCATCTTCAGGAATGATATCATCCATCTCTGGGCATCGAAGTGAATCAAGTACATTAAGCTGGCTGCGAATTAAGCCCGCAACAACACACTGGTGGTCAATGCGCACAATCTATGTTATTCAGTATCAGTTCAAAAGACTCTCGAGCAATGCTTACTTGATTTGCAACATCTTTGAAATTTGTTTGTCGTAGGTATATCTTGCGGATTGGACCATGTAACTTCTCATTTGGACGGGTACTGGTACTTCGAAGATTTCCCTTCTCTTCGATATCATCAAATAGATGCTGATGGTAGTGCAGCTTGATGAAGTTCCACGACTTCGCTTCATCCAAATTTGAATCAGTTTTCGAGTATTTCTATTGATCGACAAGAATTAGAAAGAGAAAAAAGTCCGGTACCAGCACAGACACAACCTTGATAGCAGTGAACATCTTGTTTATGGCAAGCCGCCCAGCAGCGATAGTTTCGTCAGTTTGGTTTTCGAGCGCTGAATACATGATAACATTGACATAGGTACGGGTGAGTTTCAATAGCTCGTATCCAGCCTTATCGTTATCCTCGCGTAAAAGGTCATATGCAACATACAAAAAAACCTGCATTTGTTCAGATAATAAATGGATGCATAGACTCAGTAACTGACCTTTGAAATATCACGATGTTTTGAACCATCGTTAAAGGTGATTTTGAATACTCCATCTGGAAAATGGTGAAGTTTGCACCATCGCGGAAACAATTTGAAACTAGATATATCAATACAAGAACTGTTAACATATGCAAAAAATACTTACCGGTCATCCAACAGAGTTGATGTGTCTCGAGCAGTAGAGAGCGCCGAGATGTGAGCTTTGAGTAGGGGAAATATATGATCACCCCAGAGACCACTATCTTGGAAGTGTAAGTCATCAAAAGATGAACCAGCGTAGGGATCTCCATTAGCAAGCTTCATAAAAACATTCTGCTCAATCATAGGATGTCAGCTTTGCATGTAAATGTAAGTAGTAAAGTACATGCCGATACTGGCCGCATGCTAAATTTCTTCAAAATTTTCTCCTTCTCAGTCTTGCTAGGTTTGGCGTTTGCAATCTGTAGTTGTTCATGGGCATGTGCAGCCGTTCGTAGCTCTGCATTGGTCGGTTCCGAAAGTTTGTCATTGGGGATGAAGCATTTTGGACAGGGACAAAGACCATGCAAACCTCGTATCAATGCCATAATACATCTGATAGTGATTGATAGTGAGTAAGATCCTGCTGACTCGGAGTATAATGACTTACTGTTCTTCGTAGTCTGATGATTCAAGAAGGAGTAGAGGATAGATGAGCCGCCAGATTTGATCACCGCAAAACATACTATAACCCGTCTGAGAGTACTCAATGAGCGACTCGAGTATTTTGAGGACAGATTCATGCCAGACAATAGCTTTGAAATTGACGAAATCTGTTTTGTTGCTCCGATTCGAATCCTCGGAAACCTGAAGCATATCTCAAGAGAGTGGCCATACAAGATTCAGATTTTACTTACGACTGGTAACCATCCAACGACCCGACCACCACCCTCACCGACACCATTCCGAATGTCAGTTGGTAGGTTTGCCAATCGCGCTACCACTGGATAACCTTTTGCCGTACCAAACGAAGACAACTTATTCTTGTCAGCATAGAAAATGATGAATAGAGGGACCGCGTTTGCAGGAAGAGTATCCTTGAACGGTCAATTGTACGTGAGAACAAGAATAGATGAGATAAAATAGTACCTGAAGTTTCCACCACCTATCAGCAGTCCATGGCTCATTCCGGAAACGGGTCCAAATTCCACGATTTGCATCATATTTGAACAGACGCTGAGCATGCCACTCCATTTTCGATACGATGTCCTTGTCCATTAGAAGTTCCTGTAGCCAGTCCCATAACGGTCGGAAATGGACATCAAAGTCGTGAATAGTTTCGCGATATTGAACATGGATGACGTCTTGAGTGAACTGCAAGCCTTGTGTCAATTCGGCAATGTTATGCAATGGAATTACAAACCTTTGTTGACTTCTCAGCGGCAAGATCCCATGTATCCTGTACTTCCTTGTAGTCCTTCAATGTACATTTATCGAAGCCTTGCTGGACATGATTCAACAGCATAATCAATTTCTCAGTTTGTTTGTCGTTCATTGAGCACTCCAGAGCTAATGTCGCCACTTCAAAATCCATGCGAGTACGGAATGGCAGCCATGGCCTAAGGCGAGAATCATTCGAAGGTACATGGTCATGGTCTGCAGTGTGGATATCGAATCGCTCTATTACTGGAGGTTTGCCACTATTCGGATGGTACTCTATCTTGATATCGTTCTGCTCGATGTTGAATTGGGAATTGAATGTGGTATTTGCACCAGTATTGTCTGCAAAGTCCATGGCTCAGGAAGCGTGATTATTCAGTTGCAGGAAAAGTATGCTGACCAGATATAACTTGTTCATCTAAATATACAGTTTGTGAAGGTTCGAACCCGCAAATAGGTTCCAAAGAACCTGGATGGTCCGCGGACAACAATCCTAGTGAAATGGCCCTTTGAATCATCTGGACTTTAGAAAAATTAAAGGTTACTCACTACCAATCTCCTCATTCTGTTTTCGGAGCCTGTATGCTTCAGACTGTTCACGATCCTCCCTATCTTGCTTACACTTTTTCTCGTGGCTTTTCAGACCTCGAGGCAGACAAGGAAGCCCACAAATGCTGCACTCCTTCATTGACAGGTTTGAGGACTCTCAGAGACAAGGTTATGAGGTCAGAACATCTTCGTTATTGGCAAGGATATGGCTCGAGGGCAGCGGATGGCACTGGTGACAGCGCGCAGTAATCAACGTGTTTATACATCTTCTCAGGCAGTTATCAGACCGTTATCAGACCGTTATCATGCTATCAGACCAATAATCATGCTATTATCAGACCGATATCATATTATCAGACCGTTATCATATTATTATCAGACCGTTATCAGGTATCTTTGATTATAAGGCCAAAATCAAATCTCCGACACAAGGTCTATCTGCCACCGACAATTGAAGCAGTTCGTGCCGCAGTTGAGCATGTATGTTGGGACCTGAAAGATGGTGAACTATGCCTGATCAGGGTGAAGCCAGAGGAAACTCTGGTGGAGGCTCGTAGCGATTCTGATGTGCAAATCAATTGTTGAATTTGGGTATAGGGGCAAAAGACTAATTGAACCATCTAGTAGCTGGTTCCTGCCAAAGTTTCCCTCAGGATAGCAGAAACTCATTGTCAGATTTATGTGGTAAAGCGAATGATTAGAGGCCTTGGGGTTGTAACAACCTTAACCTATTCTCAAACTTTAAATATGTAAGAACGAGCCGTCTCTTAATTGGACCGCTTGGTGATTGAAGAGTTTCTAGTGGGCCATTTTTGGTAAGCAGAACTGGTGATGCGGGATGAACCAAATGCGAGGTTAAGGTGCCGGAACTCACGCTCATCAGACACCACAAAAGGTGTTAGTTCATCTAGACAGCAGGACAGTGGCCATGGAAGTCAGAATCTGCTAAGGAGTGTGTAACAACTCACCTGCCAAATGAACTAGCCCTGAAAATGGATGGTGCTTAAGCGTGATACCCATACCTTGCCATCAGTGTTGAAGTGACGCACTGACGAGTAGGCAGGCATGGAGGTTGGTGAAGAAGCCTTGGCAGTGATGCTGGGTGGAACAGCCTCTAGTGCAGATCTTTGTCATGAAGTCTCATGATGCGCCCTTTGATGCGCCATCAGCGGTGTGTTCCCATCAACCTCTTTTCACATGGTTATTGTACTTTATCACACGGTCATCCCATTAGTTCCATTTGTTTCCATACGCTTCCATACAACTCCTCCTTATTCATTGATTAGTTCATTATGGTTCATTATCGACTCATGTTTACTCATATATATTGATTCCTCACTCTTGTTCTATATTGCATCGTTATTTACAATCGCTTACTCATTAGACAAGAGTAGTATATAAAGGACAGTAGACAGACCCTAGTTTCCCATCTCGACCTCTTGGTCATTGGGCAACTAGGCAAGTACTTGTATCCTTTTAGATACCACCTATCTAACTTGGTCATTGGGCAACTAGATTCCCTTTTGATTACTGGTGTGATTGGCCTCTGACGCTATCCCACTGTTGTTCGAGATCACTACTTCTTTTATCTGTGCTTTGTGCTTGTTTCTGTGCCTCTTCACTCTGCCACTGTTGCTCCCTGGCGTATTCAGACATCCCGCTGACACGCCTAAATTTTGGCCAGACGTCTATGCTGTGAATTGTGACATTTTCACGTATAGATTTGTATCAAGAGGACTGTAATTGAGACCCAGATTGACAGTCAAAGTCGATACTGAATCAGTCTAATAAGTTGAAGGGACCATATACCCATACTACCACAAGTTGGTTAGTTTACCCATCCCCGATACTACCTACGGATAGCAGTCTACCTGTTTGTCAAGCAGGATTATACCAGACTCGGACTACATCCGAAGGATGACCATTCACGTATGACATACCAAGGGTATTCTTATTGGACCTTACACTGGCAGGAGTTTGGAAGAACTTACTCAAGTGACCATGAACTGAGGATTGACTCGAAATGACTTTCTAGAACTCAGGAATTATCAAATACTCCTTCTAGAACAAGATCATGCATTAATCTAAAGGACTGCGATTTAGTCTAATAGACCAATCAAGTTGCATGGTTGAGTAAAATGACTAGAAGAACGATCGAAAGACTGCGAGGCTCCGAAGACATATCAAATGAATGTCAAAGAGTCCTGACGTAGAAAACATTGAAGAATGCAATTAAATGAATACTATGCATAACTCCCTTGATAGAGTATAGGCACAATGGGTGTCTGTTGAAAGAGAGAAGCAATTAGTTTAATCCAGATGAATCAGATTGATAGGATTAGAATCGAGGAGAGTTGATTTGCCTCCGGACGAGATGACAAACGATCGAAGTAAGTGTTGAACAGCAATGACAGTTGAATACTACTCGAGTCATTCTCTAAAAACAATTAAATTAAATGAATATTGAAGTACCTACCCATGTTTGGAGGTATACTAGAATCTTGGAACCAATATGGACTAAATAAGGACATGTAGATTCAAATTAAATGGTATCTGACTGAGTGTAGAAGTTTCCTTGCGGTTCCGAACGTTTATTGTTTTAAATTAATTGTACTATGCGACTCTATATTCTGTATGTATAAATAGCGATCCGATGTATCTGGAATACAAGTGATTTTGGGACGACGTTGCAGTGCTAATCCGTAAAAAGGAAAGACACACTCCCGCCAGACTGAAACCTCTTCGCTAGCAGCCATTCGGGCCCGGCACTTGTGAGTATAGGAACGTTGTGTTCTGCTCCTTGTGACTGCGAGAAGTATATCCAGTTGTTGGGTATTCTTCGAACTTAGGATCAGTCGTTGGTCTTAAGGGCAAATCACGCTGTGTGGTTGTGCCAGCACATAGTTCTAGCCCTCTGTAGGGGTCTGTGTGTTTCGGTTTTAATTTACTTTGATTCAAAACCCCAATTCTTGATATACCCAAATCAATACAAACCAAAGCACAAAGCGTGCTGAATCTACCTTGATCAAAGGAATATATCGAATCCTTAGAACGATTCAAATTGATTGATCGAAGCTTCGTACTTAGCTCTCAAAGCTTTGCGGAACCTTTGACAATGCTACCCCTTGCTATTAAATAAATTTGATAGCAGTGAACTCGCATATTGTGTATTAGATTGGTTGGTTGGAGTGCCCATTAGATTCCTTCCTTTCTCTTTCACACAAAAAAACGAGGCAAGCTCGTTATCGGATTTGAACTTGTGTCTTATGCCTGTATCCCAGTGTTCCCCTGATGTTCCCCATCCCTTTCCCCAAGCTCAAGCTACTGCTGCTTTAAAGGCTGAAAACGAAACTCTACGGGCCAAAGTAGCGGACCTCCGCAAGCTTCTGGAGACGTCTCGGGCTGAAACTTCGACACTCACAACACTACGACTTCTTTGGACGATTGCAACAAGGACCTAGAGGCAAGTCGTCGTGCCCTGCAAGATGTCGCAGCAGATCGTCTGGAGTATGGCCATGTTCTGGCTCAGTTTAGGGCCATTGAAGCTGAATTGTGATGTTGCGTTGTATGGCCACTTTTGCGCATCGGTTGCATTCCGCAGACCCTGCTTACCTCCTCCACCATCACAACATGTATGTGAGAGGTCTCATTGAGGCGATCATCACACTCCTGTCATGTAGTCTCCTCCATCCTCCGGAGCAGATGAGAACTGTTGTCGAATTGGCTCTGGAGTATCTGGCTCAAGGTTGACTTACCCACGGCGAGCTACACCTCCGCTCGACCAGTAGCTTGTTGTATTATTACTCCAATGCTGCTGATCGTGTTGATGGGTTGTACCAGGACATGCTTACCCACTCTCGTTTTTCCTCCGACAAAGCATTCCTGACTGCTGCCCAACACGCAGGTTAAGTTGATGCTCGCCCTGGTTCCCTAGAACCATGCTTGCATTGTCGACTCTTTTCTTTTGGTCATCCCATCCCCCTTCCACAAAGTCCCATTTCTGATCATATTCCTGCTGTTCCCATGATGGACTCCATAATGTTGATGTGGGAAGATATGATTAGGGCCTATATGCGTGAGGTTTTAGCTTACCCTGCCTCCCCAGATCGCGTCTCGCCCCCGGTGGAAGTTCCTAGTTCCAACGATCTCCTGCCGACAATTTCCTCCTTGGTTGCATCTGACGCTCGTCCCGTGTCGCGGGACACTCCCTTGTTCCTACTGGGATCCCTGTCTCCCACCTCCCCTTGTTCTCCTTCTCTCATCCCTTCCTCCCCCCGTGTTTCTAATGTCCCTTGCGAGGTCATCGATTTAACTATGGATGACGCTGAGGACTTGTATAAGTCACAGGAAGAGTTTCTTGCTCAGACGGGTGGGACGGTGACAGTTAAGCAGGAGGTTACCGAGTCTGACATAGTGTAGCCCCCATCCTTGTTGTATATATGTACTCCAATTTTATCCTTCTTGATTTTGTTGCTTCCGTTAAGTCTGAACTCCTGTGAAACTGTCAAGTAAGAGAAAAAGTGGAGACACTAAGGAGAATTGTTCCCCCTCGCGCTTTCCTTTCCCAAATGGAGGTACCTCACAAGGGCCTGTTGATGCAGGGTCCCAGTGATCCGGTTCGGTTGGGAACTGTTGCGGAAGCACATTCTGGTTTGGTTCACAAACTGTTTCTTCCCCTTCTGTTCGAACTCCTATAAAGGGTGTTGGGCAGGTCCTCCTTTCTTCCATTATGCCTCCCACTCCCCATCCCATCTTGGTACCTCGCACTTTCAACGCTCACCCTTACCGTGCTGAAAACCAGCATCTTGTTGCTCGGATTTGTTTGCTGGAGTCTCAGCTTGCTGACTCGCAGCGGGAGAATTCCTCCTTTACCTTTGCTCTTTGGGATACTTTGCGTGCTCTCGAATCTCGGCAATGAGAAGTGGAGCAGCTACAGTCTTCGAGCATGAAATGGAAGACCGCTGAGTTCTGGATCAGTTCCCTGCTTTAGATGAGGCCCTACCGGGGGCTTCTGGTCAAGTGAGTACTTCATTCTCCCCTCGTTTTCCTCCCCTGTTTAACCCTTCCTCTCAGAGCCTCTCGGAATGCCTCCGGAAGGTGCAGGAAGACCTTCAAAACACCACCAGGGAAAGGAGAGTCGCTGTGGAGAAACTAATCACCTCCACTCGCAAGAACTCGCAGTTGATAACCACCCTACTGCACCAACAAGGTCTTGTTGATGAATCGAATGCTTTGGCAACACGTCAATGTCGTCTTGTGGAGGAGTTGCAAGAGGAGATCCATCGGGTCCATGGTCGTGCACTGTTTGTCAAGCAAATGCTCAAGGAGTACCCTGATGAGGGTTGTTACGAGGTCATTCTGCCCCCTCTTTCACAGCTTGAAGGGGACCTTAACAAGGCTCGTGAGGACCTCCATCGTGTAGCCACCTTCGCTCATTGCCTTTATCGTTGTGATCCTGCCACAGTCCTTCATCATCACCATCGTTACCTTGGGGCGATTATTGAGGCTGTGTGTCATAAAGTACGCAGCCCCTATCATTACGCAACCCCTATCATTTTCCCTTTCTCACCGTCTCGACGCCTTTACTTGTACAATACATCATCCCATCGCTGTCAATCTCCATCGATTACTGATCTATCTATTACTGATCCACCTGACCCACCTTCTCTTTCTATCGGCTTCCGCCTCCTTCCTTGCCCCTGAACTGTACAGTATTACATCGTTGTTTCTCGCAGACTAGATTATGTATATATAGCCAACCCTCCACAGCCTGGTCCCTTATCTTGACCTCTCTGTCATTATCTGGGACTAGGTATGTGCTTACTTATTATTACCTATGACTACGATACTCAATATATCTCTGTCATTATCTGGGACTAGTTCGCCTCCGCTCCGCTTAGTCGCTCCGCCTCACTCACCTGCTTAGTCGCTCCGCCTCTCTGCCTGGCTTAGTCACCCCGCTTCCTGCTCCGCTAGTCACTCCGCCTCTGCCGCTTCGTGACATTAGGTCAAGATCCATTACTGCACTGACAGCCTACCGATAAGGTTGTCCTTGCAGGATCCGTAGACACCACGTCTTCCCCAGTCCCGCCCGATTCTGAAACACCTGCTGCCAGTATAGACTGCTCCGCACTCCCGCACGCACTCGACCCCAGAGACCAAGCTCACGCCCACAACAACAACGATACTTGGCGCGATTGCCAGTCTCAACCTTGCCCCAACGCCCTTTCGAACTCGATCCGAGAGCCACTCACTGTGAGCAATATAACCTTCCTGCCAATTCCCCAACCCCGATTGCCTACTCCCATCATGTCGACTCCTGTCCCGCCTGCCCCAAATACCTCTGCTGAGGATCTCATGGCTCAGCTCATCAGACAAGTAGCCAGCCTTGCTACAGCGATGGAGGAACGCTCATCATCCAAGTCAAGCATGAACAAACCCGAGGTCTTCAAGGGTAAAGATGGTGCTGAAGCTCGTCGCTTCATGGCTCAGTTCCAAAATTGGGCGTCAGAACAACCGGATCTTGCCAAGAGCCAAGTTAAACTTATCAAGTCCGCCCTGGGCTTCTTCACAGAAAGTGCTGGAGATTGGGCAACTCCCCATCTGTTACACTTCAGTGCAGAGAATCCCCCTTTCGGAGGAAACTGGGATACGTTCTTGAAGGAATTTAGCCAGCGGTTTGAACCAATGGACCCAGGTATGGAAGCCCGTAGCGAGATCAAGAACCTCAGACAAAGTAAAGGGCAGACAGTTGCAGAATTTGCCCAGAAGTTCAAGGATATCGGAGATCGGACTGAAATGTCTGATATTGATTTACGGGAACGCTTCTTCACCGCCTTACTTCCGGAGATCCGACAACACCTTATCATCGTAAACATCGCCCAAGGAATCGCTCCGACTTTGAAAGAGGCAATCAAACGAGCCATATCGGTGGATGTCTACCTGCATGATCCCACCATGACCGGCCGAAACACCGGACACGCTCCCGCACACACCGCTCACATTACCCCTGCCGACCCTCACGCCATGGACATTGATGCTACTCATACCAGCACTGGGAATAGCAGGGAGGCCTTCCTTGCCCGTATGCGCGGACGATGTTTTGGTTGTGGAGCTCAAGGCCATGTTAAGCAGAATTGCCCACACAAGGAGACCACCTGCCGATACTGTGGACGCCGGGGACACCTAGAATCCGTCTGTCAGGACAAGTTCATGGGACTTAGTCGCGACCGTGGCCGACGCCAACAGCCTCGCCGTCAGCAGATCTCAGCCACGGCGGCACCATTTACCTTATTCCCAAACGAATCAGTTCAGATTGCCGCCTCAATCCCAACACCTGTCACTGGACCTGCTACACCGAGCCCCGCTAATCAGGACTTCTCCACCCAAATTGGACAAATAAGGGAATTGTTGGACCGTGCTAATGCCATGTCTCCTCCGTCCTCTGGTTTTCAGCAGGGTTTTTAAAGAGGGTACCCGCTCCGGCTGCACCGAGAGTACCCCATAATCAGTTTACTATGTTCGCTACCTCTTCGTATGACTCGCTCCCATCATGTACAATATCATCTATTTGGGAATTAAATTCCAGCTCCCCACATTTCCGAATTCATGCGAAACTGAGAGGAAGGAACCATAGTATAACAACCGCAGCCATGGTAGACTGTGGAGCTACCGCCCTGTTTTTAAACCAAGACTTTGCCACCAGAAATCACGTAACCTGCGCACCCCTCCATAAACCAATTGATGTATTCAATATCGATGGTACACCTAACCGAGCCGGGCGAATCACCCACTTTGCACGCTTAGCACTCACAGTGGATAACCAGGAGCGATGGATGGATTTCCTGATCACAAACCTAGGAGGAGAGGATATTATTCTCGGACTCCCCTGGTTACGGAAGGTAAATCCAGAGATTGACTGGGAGAAGGGACGACTTTCAGTAAAGCCACCCCGGGTACATATAGAGGAAGTAGAAGATGAGCAGACTTCACACCCTCACCTAGTGGCATCTACTACCGATAGTCCAATCCAGGAACTCCTGAACGAAGGATCCCAACGTGAACCCAATCACACTGAGGCAGACCTAGAGGAGAATGAAGTCATAACAGCAACGGAGGAATCCCCAATACACCGAATACGAGCCAATCACAAAACGCGTCGGGCATGGGTGAAAGCGGGGATATTGGAAGAACAAACAGAGGAAGTATGGTGCTCAGCAGGGTTCACTTATTCTCAACAACTAGCAGAGGAGGCTAACCGCGATAAACCCATTAAAACCTTTGAGGAGATGGTCCCTGAGCAGTACCGAGACTTCAAGAAGGTTTTCTCCGAATCTGCTTCTGAGCAATTACCTGCCCATCAGCCCTGGGATCACGCTATCGATCTTGTACCCGGAGCACCAGCAACCATGCGGACAAAGATCTACCCAATGTCCTTGAACGAGCAGGAGGAACTCGACCGCTTTCTAGAAGAAAACCTACGGAAAGGCTACATCGTTCCCTCAAAGTCACCCATCTCATCTCCAGTCTTCTTCGTGAAGAAGAAGGATGGGAAACTCCGTTTCGTACAGGATTACCGGAAACTGAATGAGTATACTGTGAAGAACCGATACCCTCTCCCATTAGTTGCTGATATCATTAGCCGGCTTCAGGGAGCGCGATATTTCACCAAGTTTGACGTTCGCTGGGGCTACAATAATGTGCGGATTAAGAAGGGGCATGAATGGAAAGGCGCATTTGCAACAACTCGAGGCTTGTTCGAGCCTAAGGTTATGTTCTTCGGTCTCACGAATTCCCCTGCCACATTCCAAGCACTTATGAATGCGATATTTGCTGATCTCATTGCAGCCGGCAAGGTGGCAGTCTACCTAGACGACATCCTCATATTCAGTAACGACCTCAAGGAACACCGACAAGTGGTACGGGAAGTATTAATGCGACTAGAAAAGCACGACCTCTATTTGCGCCCAGAGAAGTGTGAATTTGAACAGCAACAGATCGAATACCTGGGACTTATCATTTCAGAAGGGGAGGTGAGAATGGATCCGGTCAAAGTAGCGGCTGTTCGTGACTGGCCAGTCCCTACCAACCTCCGGGAACTGCGAGGATTTTTGGGGTTTGCAAACTTCTACCGGCGCTTTATCCGAAATTTTGCAAGAATAGCTCGACCTTTGAACGACCTAACCAAGAAGGATACCAGCTTTAACTGGACTGGTACACAACAGGAGGCATTTGACACCCTTCGAGAGGCCTTCATCTCCGCACCAATCCTTGCTCTATGGGCGCCAGATCGGCCCACTCGAAT